GGAAACAGAGTCACTGGCCGAAGAGGCCAGGATGTCGAAGGTGTCGAAAGCGATACCGTTCCTTATCCCATAAATATTCTAATTCCCTCATTGACTCCTCATATAGGTGGTTTCCCGAGGCTAGGATCTTCGTATAGGTGGAATTGGTCACTTCCTGAGGCTGGGACCTTCATATAGGTGGAATTGGTCATTTGCTGAGGCTGGGACTTTCGTATAGATGGAACTGAATTTTGGCTGGAAACAGAGTCACCGGCCGAAGACGCCAGGATGTCGAAGGTGTCGAAAGCGATACCGTTCCTTATCCCATAAATATTCTAATTCCCTCATTGACTCCTCATATAGGTGGTTTCCCGAGGCTAGGATCTTCGTATAGGTGGAATTGGTCACTTCCTGAGGCTGGGACCTTCATATAGGTGGAATTGGTCATTTCCTGAGGCTGGGACTTTCGTATAGATGGAACTGAATTTTGGCTGGAAACAGAGTCACCGGCCGAAGACGCCAGGATGTCGAAGGTGTCGAAAGCGATACCGTTCCTTATCCCATAAATATTCTAATTCCCTCATTGACTCCTCATATAGGTGGTTTCCCGAGGCTAGGATCTTCGTATAGGTGGAATTGGTCACTTCCTGAGGCTGGGACCTTCATATAGGTGGAATTGGTCATTTCCTGAGGCTGGGACTTTCGTATAGATGGAACTGAATTTTGGCTGGAAGCAGAGTCACCGGCCGAAGACGCCAGGATGTCGAAGGTGTCGAAAGCGATACCGTTCCTTATCCCATAAATATTCTAATTCCCTCATTGACTCCTCATATAGGTGGTTTCCTGAGGCTCCCTGAGGCCAGGATCTTCGTATAGGTGGAATTGGTCACTTCCTGAGGCTGGGACCTTCATATAGGTGGAATTGGTCATTTCCTGAGGCTGGGACTTTCGTATAGATGGAACTGAATTTTGGCTGGAAACAGAGTCACCGGCCGAAGAAGCCAGGATGTCGAAGGTGTCGAAAGCGATACCGTTCCTTATCCCATAAATATTCTAATTCCCTCATTGACTCCTGAAAAGGAGCGAAATAGTAACTACACCACAAAAGTTAATACAATGCCTATATCCATCGCTTGTGTGATGAAAGTTGCGCGGACACACCCAAAGCATCAATCGAGACGGAGAAGAAGGAAGCCAGGCCAAAGATATGACGGGCGAAATCGCTCAGATGGAACCATGAGAGGGTGAGACATATTCTCCACATTCTTCTGGTTATAGCGAGTCATTGATTGATAATGGATCACCGAAATGGCGATCTATTCTTTCATTCTTTTTACCGGGGCTCTTGGCCCCCGTCATTGAGACCTACAGTTGCGTTGTGTGGCGAGATCTCTTGTGAATTGCGACATCTACAGAGCCCGCCCGTGATGGTTCCTGTACCTCAGTTTGCGAGGGTTTGGAATGGCGGCACCCTACTTGTCACGTGCGAAGAGTATGGAATGGTCATGGCTACCACTGGAGACCCTAGCCCGGAACCGATTCAGATCCTTGGTGAATGCACGACACACCCTGCAGTCCTGCATGCAAAGGTCTGGAATGGCTAGGGTCTAAAATAGTGTGGATGTCTATGTCAGGCCCAGGGTCTGCAATGGCGAATTCAGGTTCTGGCCGCTCATTCTGAGGGCAGTACTTCAATATAAAGGAAATGGCCAAATGGACCCTAAAGGTCTCGGCCACATATATATATATATATATATATATATATTTGAGAAGCTCCCATGAGCTGGAATGAAGCTGTTGCTGTCAGACTTGGGGTTTGCGGAACTCCTTTGTGATATGGTGAACAGATTGAGACTTCCTGTAGCCTCTGCACACCCCATGTCGGCAGCACCCAAAAGTCTGAGAATTGGGGCCGCCTAAGATACGATAACAACGCACGCTGCGTTGTGGCCGTCGAACTTTTTCGCGCATGGAGACTGTGGATTCTTTGCATTCCGTACGGCATCCCGTGTCCTGCCGGATGCGTACAAAGCATCAACAATAGATCACCCCTGCAGTAAGATCCTAAAACCCTATCCCGATGCGACATTGTGCGACCGTTGGAGGCTCCAAGGACTCTCAGATGCTACCGAATGCCCGAGGCGCAGCCCCAGGAACGAATTCGGACTATCTTGCAGAGTGTGCCGGGACGCCACCTGTGCCCCCCAAACTAGCAGTTCTAGCCTTCTATCTGCATGGCCGCTACCACTGGTTGTTGGCTGGGCGACGTGGGGGACCTGTACGAAGATGTTGGTTCCTGGTAGCGACTTGCTGCCCTCAACCCTAAGAGAAACCGCTGGCTGGCGGTTTAGGGCTTAGGCAAGCCACCAGTCTAGTTTTGAATAACCAAGGTCCAAATTCTGGATAAACACTTAAGCAAGCAACTCAATCAATGTATCCATGCTCTGAGCTTCAAGCGTGTGCTGAAATCCTGGTAGTTTGAGTCTTACTTTCCATTGTAGCAGCAGTATAGTTATTAAGCAGCAAAATGGCAAGATAGCAGCCGCTCCAGTAGCCTCACTAACTAGCAAAGAGATAACACCCCCCTCAGAAGACGCCCGATATGTAATTAGCAGGCAGCTGAACCGACCCTTAATTGTGTAATGAGCTTGACCTACCATAGAAGTAGTACACGCACACGATGCAGACACCCTGTAGTACACTCTAACCTGCTGCGGTGGAGTATAGACACCAAAGAGTCTGCAACTCCCTAGAAGAAAAGTCCTATAGGTGTTCATCCTAACCAACCCTAAGCCCTAAACCCCTAGCGTTTAGGGTTTAGGGTTTAGGGTTTAGGGTTTCGGGTCTCGGGTTTCGGGTTTCCCGAACACTCTTCTGCCTTAGCCTCCGCCTTTGGCTAAGAGCTTCAGAAGCTTGCCCGCGCACCGGCGCTCGGGGCTCGAAGTGTAAGAGTTTGCCCCGCACCTGATGGGCTTCCTTTTGGGGTAGGGTTTAGGGTTTAGGGTTTAGGGTTTAGGGTTTAGGGTTTAGGGTTTAGGGTTTAGGGTTTAGGGTTTAGGGTTTAGGGTTTAGGGTTTAGGGTTTAGGGATTCAAGGTTTCGGAAGCAAGTATAGCTCGAGGGCGTCCTTTGTGGCTTTAGGGCTTTGGAAACCCTGGTGGCTTTGGACTGTTTGATCTCGGGTTGGGGTTTCTGGGCTTTTTGGGATTTCTGGCAGTAGGGGGGACTTGCGCCTTGAAGATTGTTGAAAGAGGTTTGTAGATGTTGGCCTTTTTGGACCCTGCCGATCGCGACGCCCCTGCCTGTATAAGCACCCATGCCTCCAAAACATTCACGCCAAACCCTAAACCCTAAACCCAAAACCCAAAACCCTAAACTCCCCACCCTGCACCCTTGTTGCCGAATATAAGCTCCAAAACCTGAAGCTCATACCAGTAACAGGCTAACCAACCCTGAATGCCTCAATCGCTGAAGACTGCAACCCCACAACACAACTACTGCCGGGACGTCGGACACCGTGTGCTCTAGCCACCCTTAGCCCACAAACTGTGATGACCTAAGCTCCATCACGCCCAACACCCTTGCATGTTAGTGCGCGTGGGGGGGGGGGAGGGGTTGCTGCCCAACACACAGTGCGGTTTGGTGCTTCTGTAGGACTTCTTCCCCTCGGCACCCAGGGCACTAATACATTTTGCAAGGCTTCAACGACCTGGTACCAATGTCATCAAGCTCAGTCCTCTCTGCTCGTAGCCTTGCACCCCAACCTTAAAATCTTAAACCCTCCGAAGCCCATGACCCTCTACCCAATTAAGCACTGAAGGTGGGGCAAGCACATCCGAAGAGACTCTCACCATGACAGCGGGAGCTCACCCTAATTTAAGCCCTCCTTGCAATTGCTGCCCATCCTAGTGCATTGCTGCAAGGCAGAGTTGCAGAGTTTACTTGGCCCCAGACCCCCGGGACCCTGAACCCAAAACAACCCGCAAAGCCATCGTATGAAGCTCGGAACTTGGGATGCTCCCCCGTATGCTAACAGTCCTTACTCGGGACAAAAATATTGGGGCGGGAGTACGACAATCGCTATTTAGGACTGTTACTATAAGAGGGGGAACATCCCAACTCTGAACCCTCAAGCCCGCAAGCCCTCGCCTCAGGCTTGCCGGATGTTTGCGAAGACGATGCGCCCAGGACCAAGCCTCAGCTGGACGTTCGGCTCAGGGGCTTAGGGGTTTTGTGCCACAGGGTTTAGGGTTGCAGGGTTAAGGGTTTCGACGCTCGCTCCGCGAAAGGCGGGCGAGGTTTGGGGTTCGGGGCTTGGGAGGGTTTGCAGTCTCGGCTTCAGGGTTTGAGGCCACTGGCTTCTTCTGGTGCTTGCTAGCTGACTGGGTCGTGCTGCAGGGCACATACGTGTGTCGAAGAGAACCTTCTAACTCTCATGCTTTACATTGCGCATCTGCCCATAAACAGCCATTAGGAACTGGGGCCTAGGGTTGAATTGTTCAGGGTTTGGGTTTAGGATTCTGTTGGGTTTGGAATGTCGAGATTAACATGGGCTCAGGAGTTGGGGCTGAGAGTCTAGGGTTTGGCCGGTTTAAGGCGCCGGTGCAACTTATCCCTAGGGCACAGAGCGGGCGTAGACGTGACCGCAGTTGAATGCGGTGCTGTAGACGAGTCCGATGAGGTGCGGAACCGAAGTTTCGGATACTATATGGCTTACTATTTATCGTACACCGCCTGATAGTATAGTGTGCTCACGAACATGACGAAGCGTACGGTTTCAATGGCTGGCACAGGCAAGGTACGGTGTCGCCACTGCTTGTGGCCTTGAACCTCTTTGCCCCAGAATCCAGCAGCATGCTTGCCACTGGCACATGGCCATTCCTCACTGGCCATGAGCCATACTAGACAAATTGCACTGTTGAACTGTTGTTCTTTTGTTCTCACCTCAATTTCCATAAATGTACTTCAAGTTACTTCTACTGTTTATGTTGCCACTGCAGCAGTGGAGACCCTATGTATGACATCAGCATGGCCCGAGTGTAATTGAATCTCCACTCCAACAGCTTGCAGGAGACCCCGCAGATCAGATCCCCAAAATTCTGCTCAGTACCGCCAGGAATCTTGCAGGCCGCGGTGAGAGGGGTGTAGTGGGCAGAGGTCAAAACCGAGCCAGAGCATACACGAATGCAGGCCTCGACATCTGCCTCGGCCTTAGCTGCCAGGAGCAGGCCTGCGATCCCGGAATAGCCACCCAAACATGCGCACACCAGAGGCGTTTCACCAGCGCACGTGCCCTGGGCATCTGCCTTTTCCTGAAGCAACAGGCAGACCACGTCGATATGACCCATCCAACATGCTGCGGTGAGTGGGGTGTAGCACCTGCTTTCCCTGCAACAAAGCACAGACGAGGAAGCAGGGGTGTCTCTGTCAGCGCCAGCCAGCAACAGAAGTTTCGCGATGGCAAGGTCGCCCTGCAGGCTGGCCATAACCAAAGGTGTTGTTCCCGCATCCTGGTTGGCATTCGCCTTTTCTTGCAACAACCGACGCACCATCTCTGTCCGTACATCATGGCTGGCATCTGTCATTGCACAAGCAGCTATGAGAGGTGTAATGGGTGCACCAGGATCCGTCCTATTCACATCCGCAGCAGCTGCCAGCAAGAGCTGTAGGATCTCCAAGCGCCCGAGGCCGCAAGCTCCGAGCAATGGCGACTCCCTGCCGCCGTCTGGCTGCACTCCTGCCTGCAACAACACGGACACCACGTTGGTGTGGCCTTCCTCGATGGCCGCCATGAGAGGTGTCGTCAGTCTCCCGACTGGTTGTCTGTCTGTGTACAGGTGGTAGCACGTTTCATCCTTCTTATTTTCTGCGCCGGAGCTGAGCAAGAGCAGCACCAGCTCCGAGTGCCCACCACGGCACGCTGCGAGCAAGGGCGTTTGGCAAGGCTCCCCAAAGCCATTCGCCGTGGCCTGCAGCACATCTGCCCTAGCTTCCAGCAAGAGGCGCGCAAGCTCTTCGTCACCGAAACCCGCTGCTGCAACCAGTGGAGTCAGGCGCCACTCCCCGTCTGGATGGCAGCAGTCCTTGTCAACTGGAGCTCGCGCCTCGAGCAGTATTCCCGCAAGCTCACGGTGGCCTTTGAGGCATGCATTGACCAAAGGGCTTCCCAACCATGTTTCCTTGTTGGCATCCGCACGGGACTGCACCAGCAGGCCCACAACACCCAAGTGCCCATTCTGACATGCTGCAAGGAGTGGGGTCAAACCAACGTATTCCCAGATGCCGTCCTTGTCGGCCCCTGCCTCCAGCAGCATTTGTGCGAGCTGTGTGTTTCCATCTTGGCAGGTGAGCACCAGGCACCCCGTGTCCACGTCTGCCTGAGCTTCCATCAAAAGGCTCACCATGCACGCGTCCTCTTGCCCCACCGCAAGGAGAAGGAGCGGAACCTCGTCTCCACGGCGCCCCTTCACATCAGCTCGAGCTTCAAGAAGTAGCTGCACTAGCTCCAACTTGCCTCCAACCACTGCTGTCCGCAGTGCAGCCTGTTCGTCAAGGCATGCGACATTATGAGGCGTTGGATGCCTTCAAGCCTTATGAGAAGTTGTGTTCGGCGACACTCACTGGCAAACCAGGATGGACAAGTTCTTCTTAAGACAACCCAACACTCCAAGCATTCATTCAAGCTGCTGATACTGTGCAAATCCCTTGAACACTTGCCTGGCGCATAACCGGAACTATCCTACAAACCCTACCCTCAACCCGAATCCACCCTAAACCCTAAACCCTAAACCCTCAACCCCAAACCCTAAACCCTAAACCCTACATTTCTTTTTCTCGAACCCCGGAGTCTCCTGGTCCACCGGCGCTCCCGCCTCGAGCAAAGCTCGCACGACATCGACATTCCCGTGCTGCGCGGAGGTTGCCAGCAGCGTGGCGCACTCCTTCAGCAGAGCTCTGGCGGTTGACTGCTTTGGGACTTATAGAGCTCATGCACAGTGTAGAGCGCTAGACTAAGCTACACCATAAGATGCTATACTGACTGGGCACTGCCGCCACCACCCTTTTCCAAACTGTACCCAACAATCTGTCTGGAATGAAGGTGCACGTAGAGGACACACAAGGAAGCTTGGGCAGTAGCTGGACGCGGCATGGCAGCATATGCAAAAACAACTCCAATATTCTATCGCAGTCGAAGAAAGGTGGCTGCCTGTGAACAACCTAGATTTTTGTCTATACGCCCTTGCAGGGGTGAGGGAGCTCAAATTGTTCAACTCAGGGCACGCGAGGATGTATGACCAAGCGTTGCAGGCTGCTGCGACTGCAACTCTACCCTGATGTAGATGCTGTAGTTCACTCTTGCAGCATACTCGAATCACGCACCCTAGTATATACCAGTCATAGTACATATAGCACAATGAAGTACGCTACCGCCTGTAACACAAACCACAGCATGCTAGCGCAAACTACTCAATGCTACTGAGCTCATTCGCCTGGCACCGCGACCACTCTTCCTCATCGGAATCTGCAGGATGTCGATCTAATGCCTCCAGGCATATTGCGCTAGGTATCGTACAGAGCAGGGTTTACGGTTTAGGTGTCAGGGTTTCATTCGGGTTCAGGGTTTAAGTGCACGAAGACCATCTGGAGAACTGTCATGCCAGGCCGAAAGACGGAAGAGATTGGACCCTACTCTTAAGCTTGCAAGCCCTTTTGTTTGACCACTACACAAGTACAATGAAAAAAACACAGACTCAAGTATGCACAGCCTGTAGTAGACCCTCATGTCATTCTTAAACCCTAGTGACATGGTGTACTAGAGTACTGTACAGCGTGCCTATAGTTGAAGAGGACCTGTCCCCCGCTCTTGGTTCGAAATTAACTTCGGGGCTGCCCCTCGTAGCAGGCGCAACTTTTAGGCTGTGGCATTCAATCATATGGGTTTGGGATTTAGTGCTTTAGGTCTTAGGGTGCTACTCTGACCAGGATGGCAGTATGCAGTGGAAGTAGTGTGCTGTACCATTCTGGATAAGGCTGATATTCGATCAGCTTTTCTGGTAGCCAGCATCATGTTTGCAGTACGTCTACTGGAGTTCACTACAACAATTGCGACAGTATACTGTAGCGTACTAGTTTATACACAGTAAGTGACATATAGCTACCCAACTCTTCAAAATGAGCCTTTACTGCATGGTTTTACAGGACCTCCACGGGGCACTCCACGGGGTTTCGTTTGGTACCGATTTTGGGGCATGTTTCCGGGTGGGGCATGGCCTCGTTCACGTCCAATCCAGCCGCTATCAGGAGCCGCAAGATCTCCAAGTGTCCATGCCGACATGCCCATAGCGATGGCGACTCCTTGCAGCCAACCGCCTGTGCCCCAGCCTGCAGCAACAGAGACACCATGTTGGCATGGTTCCCCTCCATGGCCGCAGTGAGTGGTGCCACCATCGTGACAGCTTCCTTCTCGTTAGCATCGGCCTCGCCCACAGGTGTATCAATAGCGGCCCGGGCCTCGAGCAACAGGCGGGCAAGCTCCAAGTGCCCTTTGCTCGCCGCCGCTGCAAGCGGGGTCATTCGCGCCTCACCACTTGGGCCGCAAGAAGCTTCATCGACCAGAGCTGCCGCCTCCATCAGCAAGCGTACAAGGCCTAGGTTGCCGTTGCTGCAGGCATTGGCCAAAGGGCTACCCCACAACACTATTGCTTTGTTCGGATCCGCTCTGTGCTGGAGCAGAAGGCCCACCACGTCCTGGTGGCCGTTCCTTGCTGCCGAAAGGAGAGGGGTCAGATTTCCCGCGTATGCCCACTGACCATCTTGGTCGGCGCCAGCGAGCATCAGGGACTCTGCAAGCTGCGCATGCCCATGTTCGCACGCGAGGACCAAGCTTCCATCGGCACAGGCCTTCATCAAGAGTTCTGCCATGCAGCATTTCTCTTGCCGGACCGCGACGAGAAGCAGTGGGACCTCCTCCGGGTTTCTACCATGAGCCGTGGCGTCCACGCGCGCCCGCAGCAGGAGCTGCGCCACGTCCACATTGCCTGAAATCACGGCTGTTCGGAGCATGTCCTGACCAGGGGCTGTGGTGCCAGGCTCTGGCGGCCTTGAAGAAACCCTGGAACAGTCTCGTACGCATGTCATCGTAGATGGTATATGGGTTTCCGAAACCAAAGGGCACCCTTGTTCGGGTTACAGTTCTGCGGATTCTAGTAACTTGGGGTAGATTCTTAGGAGAAGCCTGTGTTGGGAAAGGCCCAAGTTGCCATCTAATTAGTGGATCGTATACACTTGAGTAGATGGTACACACTGCACCATGCAGCTGTGGAGAATCCGTATGTTATCAGCATTGATCAATGCGGACCCTACTCCAGAACGACATGCCGACAGTAGAAACATAGCAAGCGCACTTGGAAGCGTGGGTTTCAGGTTTCCAGGCTTTGGGTTTAGCGTATGATCTATCTTTATGGTCTTGTAAAGGAACTGAGTAAGGTTGAAGGAGTACGGCGCCAGCAAACATGGCAACATGGGATAGCAACACTGCGTGTAATGTAAGACTCAGACCCTCCTCTCTAAAGCCCCCGGTAACCACCCCGAGCGCCTGCAGCACTCTGAATGCAATTCCTGCACCATACTTTATGTGGAACAAGTTTGCCTTGCCTGAAGCCCTTAATCCACTATGAATACATCACTCCATGTCCTGGTCCGCGTTGGCGCGAGCCTCCAACAAGACACGCACTTCGTCAGAGCAGCCTTCTTTCACGGAGAAGGCCAAAGGCGTGATGTACTCCTTTGTCCAAGGGTTTTTTCCCCTCCGTCCAGGGGTTAAGGGTTTAGGAAGTTTAGGGTTGTTTGCCACCCGCCCAGCACGCTCGCAAACCTACATGCGAACACGGCGGGGGACTTCTTCAGAGGCCCAAAACAGCTACACTAGGACTTGGATGCGCCCCGCCACCTACACCGTCAAGGGTGTTTAGGGTTTAGGGTTTAGGGTTTAGGGTTTAGGGTTAGGGTGCAACACGGCTACCAACAACCTACGACACATACCAGTCTCGGTGGCAGAGTTGCGGGAGGCACTGGCGCTGCCAGGACTCAGACTCTCATTGGGGTCCGGCATTGGGGGTTTAACCCCATCGAGGTGTAGGGGTCGGGCAGTTTAGGGTGAAGTTTAGGGTTTCTGCTAAGGGCTTCACTGCACATTTGATCATGCATACCTTACATGATATACTTGACTCTAACAAAGTATGGATAAGCCGCTTCGCCCTGTCCAACCCGAACCTTACCGCTGTCTAACCCCTAGACACTTCTCAAACTGTGAATCCCTTTTGGCAAGAGGCTTGCCATTTCGGCTCTGACCCCCTGAGCCTAAAAGACCCATGAACCTCCAAAACCACCCACAGCCCTAAAGCAACGGGCCGCCGCACTCCTCCGTGATCTCCTGGACTCAGACAGTGGTTAAAGAGCGCTTTAAGCTTCGGCTGTGTGTGAGGTTAAGAGTTTCGGGGTTTGGGGGTTTAGGAGTGCGCTTTGTTGCTTCGGTGCTGGACTACTGTCTAACTATGCGATTCCTGACAAACTGAAATGAAGCACAGGCCTCATCATCCGAGTCAGAAGAGTCTTCCATCCGGCACTCGTCGTCATGCTGGTGGTTTGGCCGTGCCTCCCGCAAGGCTTCGGGATTCTGGTTCCGCGAACCACGTTCTCCATAACAGTACTATAGTATAGCAGTGTAGTAGCATAGCTACCACAGCTCGTCGCAATAGTACTTAGAAGCAATAGCCGTGGCGGTGGAAGCGGTCGTGGGAGTAGCGGTAGGGAAAAGGTGGTAGTAGTGGTAGTAGTGGTAGCTAATCCTGCTGTTGTTGTAGTGCCTTCACATCGTGCCCAAGCAAAAAAAAAGCCAGCTTTCAACATGGAGCCACGTGGCCTGGTTCACATCCACTCCAGCTGCCAGCAGGAGCCGCAGCACCGCTAAGGGTGAATTCTGGCATGCCCAGAGCAAGGTCGACTCCTTCCCACCCTCCGGCTGTGCTCTTGCTTGCAGCAGCAGCGACACCACCTTGGTGTGGTTGCCCTTGATGGCCGCCATGAGCGGTGTCCTTGGCCGCCTTGGCCTTCTTCCGTGCGCATCGGATCTGAGCATCGATCTACGCTCCGTGTCCGCGCGAGCCTCTAGCAACAGGCCAACAAGCTCAGCGTGGCCGGAGGCCGCTGCCACAACAAGCGGGACGAGAATCGTGTCATTATTCTCGATGTCGCGGAATTTCTTGTCGGGCAAAGCTCGCGCGTCCAGCAGTAGACGCGCAAGCTGCGCGCAGCCCCGCATGCATGCAAAGCCCAAAGGGCTTCTTCCCGACCATGTGCCCTTGTTGGCATCTGCACGGGACTGCACCAGCAGGCCCACAACACCCAAGTGCCCATTCTGACATGCTGCAAGGAGCGGGGTCAAACCCGTGCACTCGACGCCATCCTTGTCGGCGCCTGCCTCCAGCAGCCTTTGTGCGAGCTTTGCGTTTCCATCCTTGCAGGTGCGCACCAGGCACCTTGTGTCCACATCTGCCTGAGCTTCCATCAAGAGGCTCACCATGCACGCGTCCTCGGCAAAGGGAAGGAGAGGAAACCAGCACCCCTTCACATCAGCTCGAGCTTCAAGCAGAAGCTGCACCAGCTCCAACTTGCCTCCAAGCACCGCTTTTTGCAGTGCAACCTGCCTTGCTGCATTGAGTGGGGTCTGATCAGCATACAGGCAGATGTTTTCGTTTTTGACGCTCGCCTCCAACAGGGTTTGCGCGAGCTTCGTGTTGCTTCCTTCACATGCACGCACAAAGCTGCGCGTGTCGACAGCAGCCTGAGCCTGCATCCAAAAGTCATCTTGTCCAACAGCGAGCTGAAGAAGTGGAGCCTCACTGTTGCTCTGCGCCCTCGCATCAGCTCCAGCTTCAAGAGGCTGTTCTACATCCTCCAACTTGCCTTTGACTACCGCTGCCCGCAGGGCCTCCTGACGAACATGTGCCAAGATCTCAAACATGAGGGTTTGGGAGCGCTGCGGGGAGACGTTTTCCTATGCTTTACAATACGAGACATGGTACTGTGCTCTAAAATGCTGCTCCACGAACCTGGGGCTAACTATGTTGACTACATAGTCTGTACTCTGCCGGTAGGACTCTGCGTCGCACAGTGCGGTACAGTGTAGTACACTCTACCAAAAAGTGCACTATGCAATACACCATAGCGTATAACAGCATTAACTGGGCGGTACTGCAGCCTCGTGCATGGCGTGCGGATGAAGACCTGGAGCGCAGTATACGGTAGTATACGATACTGCAGTGGTTACGAGCAACCCACGAGACTGTAGCAACTGTAGTAGAGGAGACCTGTACGGGCATACCCCCCCCCCCTCCCCCTCCCCCCCCCGCCCCCTCCCCCCACCCCCCCCGTGTGTTGTGGGTTCCTTTTTAAAATGGGCTCTTAGGATAGTGTTTCAGTGTTTAGGGCTCCCGGGTTTGATGTCAAGCGTGCGAATAAATTTTGCTGACAGTATTCTCGCGTCCCCGATGCTTACAGAACATGTTTTTTTTTCCAGTCGTTTTCTGGTTCGAAGCTTACCATCATTCCTTCGCCGTCGGGTCGGGCGGGTGTTGTGTTGTTACTGGTCTCATTCTTGGGAGGGAGAGGGGGGGGGGAGGGAGGGGAGAGGGGGAGGGGGGATGGGGAGGGGGGGAGGGGGGTGGGAAGTTGTGTTGGGCCATGTTGGAAGACCCCTGAGACTCGCCTGAGACCCCCCTCCCTGTTCATAAGCTACCTGATGCTGAAAAGCAAGACGTTGTGTGATAAAAACTCTTTCCAACCACGATTGAGTACGCAGATTGCGCACCGACGCATAACACAGCATAAGTAAAAGCAAGAATACTGAATATTGTAAGGCTACCACCACGACTCCTCAACCAACCGGCATTTAGAAAAAAACAACAAAACAAGATGAAGAATTCAAAGGCATCATTAGCAAACACAGATAAGGTACTACCACCACGACCCCTCAACCACTCGGATGTAAAAAAACAAGATGAAGTTTGGCAAATACAGACTGCAGGTTTAGAGATACCTAACCCCTCACCCCGCGGAGGTAGGCTCCACACAAAGGGGGGGGGGAGCATACACAAACAAGTATGTGTGCTTGTTTGTGTGCGTATGTGTGTATATACATGTATATAATGATAATATATGTATACTGATAATATACATATATATATATATGTAGAGAAAACGATATTGATTTATAAAAATGATGTGCGATAAGTGTAATGAAAAAATTGCACTTGTTTGATTGACCATCCGTCCTTGTCCACGGCAGAGTCAGCCTGCAACGATGCACCGAAACCCCGCAACGTGGCAATATAGTATACTTCACAGTCTACACTCAATTAAAAAGTGTAGTCAGTGCACCGAGCAGAAACCATAAGCACCACGACAGCATGTTCACAAGTTTGCAACGGCAATAAGACGCGGAAGCGTAGCACAAGCTGCAGCACTTCTGGGACTACTTCTGTAGCAGTAGTCCGCCCAACCGACCAGCCCTTCTTGCCTATGCCCACCTTTTTTTGGCACTTTCCCTCAACCCGGGCCCTTCTCGCCTAGCCCCCCAATGACTACCCTCCCCCAACCTCCTCAAAAAAAAAAGCTTTACCCCGTCTCCCCGACAAACCGCGACCCAGCCTTCGCCCACCCCTCTTCCCCGCCCAACCACCTTGCGGCCGCCCCTGCAACGCGCCCCCCTTCGCCTTGTCGCTGGCAACCACCCGCCCTCCACACCCCACCCCGCCAGACCCTTCCCTCCTCGCAACGCGAGAGTGTTTCTTTTCCATTTAAAACCAGTGGGCACATCTTTACCTCTGCACCTTCACCCAAACCCTTGTCGCCTACCCCCCCTCCCCACCCACCCCCAATGACCACTCACTCCTGACCTACATAAAAGCTTGTGTCCTCTGCGCCCGGAGCCTGGCGGCTTTTAGGGGGGCGGAAGCGGCGAAAGCCCGGGATACAACAAATACCACTCTTCGAGCTAGAGGTACTTGCCTTGGCGAGGGTGAAGAATGCTAGTCTCCTACTCGTACCCTACCGCGAATGTTTCGTGTTTTGCCATGTCTGAGATAATTCTCATGGCCATCGTACCTGGGTCTCGGAACAGCGACGCGGCGTAGAGACAGCGAGAGGGTCGGCCCATTCCTAGGCAAGCAGCGCTGTAGGATTGTGCAAGCATGTCATATGCGGTCCAAAGTTCATGTTACCTGTATGGAGAGAGTGTATGAACACAACGAGCACGACAACTGATGTCCAACTTAGCATACGTTGTTGACTTCTAGTCTACGATAATGAGTGCTCTACTATGCTTAAAAGTTGTAGGTTCTGAAGCTCCTGATCTCACTCTGTCCCCAAACGCAGCCAGGGCTCATGGTGTTCGAGCAGCACCTCCCCTCCACCCCCCGTGCCGTCGCGCTCTTCTTGTCCCGGCATGCCTTGGCAGGCATCTTTGTGGGACTTCAGTGTCAGGGTCTGTGGTTTAAATTCTGGGTTCGCCGTAGCGCCTGTGGCCCAGATGTATGCTCTTTGGTCCATCTAGACTGTGGCACCCCATAATGGCAAATAGTATGCTAGCAATGATGAAGGTCTTCTGGATTGCCCTGCTGCCATTTAGGGTTTACGGCAGTTGTTTTGGGCACCCGCATGGCTGGACGAACCCTAGTGTGTAACGACGGTTGCTTTTTTGGCAGGGCGAGGCTACTGGATCGGGAGGCATGCAGTCAAGGGCAGTTTAGGGCCTGGGGTACGGAGATTTGCTGATTGGCTTCCTCCACTTGACACCAAAGCACGTCCAAGTTTTGGACCTCCATCCAAGTCTCTTTCTGGGCTTTGAGCCGCTCAAAGAAATCATTGGAACAAAGCCCTGAACCCTAAAGGCCTCTGTGCGTCGGGCCGGCCCAAAAACCCATGATGCGCAGCCATGCATGTAACAGTATGTACATATGTTGTATGTGCATATGTTTTTATGGTCTTATTAATATATATATATATATATATGTAATATGTAATATGTAATATGTAATATGTAATATGTAATATGTAATATGTAATATGTAATATGTAATATGTAATATGTAATATGTAATATGTAATATGTAATATGTAATATATCTATATAATCTATATATATATATATATATATGCGTATCTTATACACCCCTTGAATCCAAGATTCTCACGGCACAAACCGCAAAGGCTAAACTAAACCCCAGACCAATTTACCCTCAAAGCAGGTGACAAGGCACGTGCCATCGAAGTGCTGAATGACGCGTCGGTCCCTATGGACATGCTAGCTCAAGTCTTGAGCCAAAGCTATCATTGGCTGTTCATCATGCCTGTTGTGCTTCGGAGAGAAACAGGTATAAGTAGCCGCTGCAGCAAGGCTGCATCGTGGCACGAAGAGTGTTCGAGAAAAGAGCATAGTAATACCGCAAATGGCAGTATAGTACGAGTGCGCGCACAGCAGTTTCAACTTGCCATTCTCTCTTGGCACCCGACACCTTGGCTAGCTTGTAGTCTATACTCATGGACCTGGAAGGTTCTCTTTTGCTACCCCGCTTGACGCTCTGGATGCATTGCAGGTTCAGCGGAAACTAGTCCTGGTCCCGCTGGCCAACTATCACCCAGCCATCAACACAGGATTGCCACAGACCTCAACAGTACAAACAGCAGCAGGGTTAAGGACTTAATTAGGCCCGCCATCACTGAATAAACCAAAAGCTGAACTGCCCGCAGGGACACATCAATGCGAATCATCTCCAAAACGCTAGACCTCGAACCCAAACATCCCATGAATCCCCCAGAGCATGCCTCAACTGTAAGAGGGCAAAGCGGACGATGTGTAATATACAGCCGCGCCAAAGCAACAAAACCAGCAGTACACGTGCAAACTGCGACACCTTGCACAACACAATGAACTGAAACGTACGAGTACAAGCCTATACAGGCCTATGCACCCTGCAAAGACTCTGTCCAAGGCATCTGCAACTGCCTTTCGTCCGCGCACTTCGGCCCATTCTGTGTAACAAGATTGCTGGGGCTTGGGATGCTCCCCCTACACTAACAGGGGATTCTTGTACCCCCTATTTTATGTAATCCCTCGTAAGGACTGTTAGTCTCAGAGAGGAGGAACATCCCAAGCTGGTGGCACAACAGGCAGTGGAGGAAGCCTGGCACACTTGGGCCCCTTCGATGTCCGAGCAGTGTGCAAGATAGCCTAGGGTTTAGGGTGCAGGGTTTAGGACGTGCACTTGGATACAGCCTTTCTGCCTGCCCCATTTCACAAGGGAGTGCGCACGGACCCCAAGGATAAGAGACTAAGTTTTCTTGTCTCTCAACAACATCAGGCGCCTTTTGCATATGTGCCGACGTGGTTCGTGAGTGTGGCAAAACTCACATACAACAGTTTGCTAAAGACAGTGCCCAGCCAGGAATGAATTTTACGTTGACACACGCCGAAGATCCCTGTCTTCTAGTCCAGCTCACAAGGAGGAGATGGGAGCACCGGTGCACCGTAGGCCCATTCGGTGAGAAGCCCCCAGTGATCTGAGGGGAAACGACACAAGCCCGGCACCTTCTCCTTTCCCAGAAGTTGCTTGGGCTGCCATAAATATAGATACAGATACAAATATAATATACATATTTCTATATATATGTGCAAAAATATCGTAAATAAGATATTTAAAGAAATGTAAGGAGAAATCCGAGCTCTTGATTTCACCTCCGGAGTTCGCGTTGAGGCTGCTGAGGCCTGTGCACCTTTGGCCAGACCGTCTAAACCTGGTGCGCCAAGCACATCTGAAACGCCAGGGCTGATGAAAAGGATGCGGTCAAAGCGCATCTTGCTACGAAACTCGGCGCCCAGGTTGGTGTTTTCAGTGGTGTCCCAGGTGTATTGTTCCGGCTCAGGGGAGCCACAGAAGTGCCATGCGTCGGAAAATCCGAAGGCCTTGTCGCTGAGCAGCTTGTGCACCTCCATCATCTCTTGGTCACGAATGTTCAAATCACCACCCAGCAGCGCAAGACTGGCTCCCTTCTTCAGCCAAGCCGGTGTGGAGTTGATGATTTTCCACAAGTACTTCAAGGAGAACAAGAGCTGGAGTCTTCGTTCTGATTGACTCTTCTTGGTCCCTAAACCCTGAACCCCTATTCCAACTCATCAATCGCTGCTCTGCAGGCGCGGCTTGCGACAGAAGGCCGGCAATCTCCGCAGCCCGTCCCGTCAGAATATAGGCCTCTCCAGTGTAGTAGCGCACAGCAAAGGGGACTAGACAATTCCGAATGGACCTTTCCATTTCAAAATCCTGGTCCATAAGGAGACCTAGCAGGCACTCGTCATTAACATCTTCGTCATCGACGAGTTCCCTAGTTTCCTCCGGGGTGATACCTGTCGGAATCACACCATCTAATTTCAGATTGCGGAAGAATCGGCGGAAGAAAGAGTCTCTCGGCTCTTTCTCCAGCGTGCCGGTGCCTTTTTTCCACCTCCTTTGCGACCTTCGCCACAGTAACGTCTTCGCCAGGTTTCCACTCAATTGCGGATGCCTTGATTTCGGTGACAATTGTGTTCTGGTCGTAGGGGCTCTCTTCCTTCTGATGGTACTCCTTCCAAAGTTCCGTGTTGGTGAAATATGGATGCTACACAAAGTGGAAGGAAAGCTTGGAGCCTTTCCCCCAGTCAGACTCATCAATCTCATCGTCAAGATCCTTCAGCTCCTTGATTGTGTCTGTGACCTCCTTGGCCTTGTGCTCCGTCCTTCTCTTCTTCTTTCCCATGGCCGCTGTTCCTTGTTTTTTTGTTTTCTGCGTGTGTGTGTGTGTGTGTATACGTGTGTGAATGTGTGTCTTTCTGTGCTTCTCTTTCCCGCATCTATGACAAGACTGTGTACATTGCAAAGTGTCACGAAGATTTTTGAGCTCGATTGCAACTTAATGGAAGATTGCCACCCTCATTCCGCGCTTTCATTGTTTGCTCCTTCTTCACCTTCTTCAGTTCTTCCAGCTTGATCAAAAAAACGATTGCTGCTCACGCAATGCATGGTCTAGACCTGCCCCAACTGTCAGTAGCTAACAAAATACAAAACTCGGGTTTAGGTCCTATCCAATACAGATCAAGCAGAATGTAGAAAGCATCAACATGGGGAACATGCACCTACAAGCAAATACACCAGAATGGCTGTACTGGGTGTCTTGCGGCAATATCAGCGGTTTAGGGTTTATGTTTCGGGCTTTGGGTTGTTCCCTGGTGCACCACTTGCAGTGTCATACTATGCCATGGCCCGACACCATAGCATTCGGTACTATCGTGTGCTCGACTGATATGGTTGCCTCTGATCACGTGAGCATGGCCTCAGGTCAAACTTTTCATACTTCTCGTTAATTGGGGTGACGCGGGGCTCGCGCCGAGGCTTCGCGAAGGAAAACACCCCACTCGCCTTTCTCCAGGCGCGCTGGCCTTCCCTCACAACTCGGCGTTGGAGTTGGCGCATACTTGGGCAGCAGATCCACCAAACTTGACGCTCAAATGCGGCAGCGGCTTTGATGGAAGACAGCCGCACAGCTTTGGGTTGGCATCGAGGTTGACCCTCCGCAGCTTGGGATGCTTCATGAGCCTTGCCACCACATCAACGTCCTGGCAGTGGAGGTCGTTCATGGCCACCTGTAGTTGCGTCAAGTTCTCCAGTGTTTCCAAAGATTGAGGCAGAGTGCCCTCCAGCTTGAGGTCGTGAAGGTCCAATGAGCGCAGCCGTGGCCAGAACTCCGGCAAGGAAGCTGGGATGCCGCCGTAGATGAAGTTGGCATCCTTGGGAGCAGTGTTTCTTCGACAGCACTTCTTGGTCCACTGTAAAGTCAGACATGCCACGTGTCAGGGTATGTGACGTTTAGTTCTGTGGCTTGTGTTGGGCATCTTTTGTGTGAAGGGTTCTTTTCAGGAGGAAGATATGGGGGGTCAGGATGTCCACTTGTCTACTGAAGCCAGCTATTCAATCCCTGAATGCCTCAACTTGCCTACTGTCCATGCTCAAGCTATAGATCCTCAGATCTCCTTCGCCTTCTCCTGCTGAGTAACCTTTTGGGGTGCTCAATCCGCCAGGCATCGATGTGCATCTTCTCGAGGGAGCGCCATCTCCACCATGGCAGGGTCATGTCATCGAAGTGGATATTCCACCCATGCACCGGGCAGCGCCATACTGGCGGCTTTCCGTCATATTGTGCCACATAGCCAGGCACACAAAGACTGCCTGAGCTCAGCCCAATAATCGCTAAACCCTAAACCCTAAACCCTAAACCCTAAACGCTAAACCCTAAACCCTAAACCCTTTTGAACCTGGAAGCTGCTTCATGCCAAAACCCCAAACCCTAAACCCCAACCTGTACTCTCACTAAGTGTCAGCCCGATCAGAAGCAGCTACTGGTCGTTGAGAAGGTAAAGAGAAACGTTCGAAACCGTGTCTTGGTATCCTTCTCCCTCTAGGAAGCCTAGTGAGCTGAACTCAAGCCGTGCTCGTCCTCCAAACGTATCGGGCTTCTGCATAGGATGAGCTGCAGCAAAACTCCTTTCCTCCATTCTTCTATTAGTTAACCTTTCATCCATTCTTCTATTAATTAACCTTAAACCCTACACCCTGAACCCTTTTCTTTACCAAGCTGCGGTTTGGCAGCCACTCTCCCGGACAGCTCACCTTCTCCTCGCTGAGCCTTCCATTCTCAAAAGCCTCAAAGATGCGCAGTTTCTGGAGGTTTCCCATGCTTTCTGGTAGGGAAGCTGTCCCTGTTAGGTTGCAGCCGATCACGTTCAAGTGAATTAACTCGGAGAAGTTGCCCAAACACCCTGGCAATGCTTTGATTGAGACGTGCTGACCACCTTGATTGCTGTCCCCACTGATGTGAAGATGCCGCAAGTCACGGAATTCGCAGATCCAATCTGGCACAACTGTTGAAGCGATCCTCAGATCCAGCCCTACTATGGAAGCTGTCCACGAATTAAGAGCCATCATGTCCATTGGCTCCTCCTGCATGTGCACCGTCATCACTCTTGCATTCGGAAAGAAACCAAGCAAACTCCCCAGAATTCCTTTGTCAAAAAGCTTTCCGCTCTGAAACTCCAAAATGCGAACTCCGCGCAGCACCCGCGAAAAATCCAAGGCTTCGTCTGGATAATCCATGACCTTCCCGGGATTGGACAGCGTCACACGGACCAATGCATTTTCGTCACCGCAAACCCAAAGGCGTTCACAACGACAAAGTTCCTCAGTGTTCAAGTCCTCAGACTGCACGAAATGGTAGAGGAGCTTGATGCAGGTCTTTCTGTGCTTGCTGAGTATACCAAGCCTGCTATGGAGCATCCAAAGTACCGCCATGTCTTGATGTAGAGTTCCCAAATCGTCTCCCAAGCCAAGCAGGTGGTATAATGAGGATGCCTCAACCAGCTCACGATTCCCAAAGACTTCCCCCAAACTGGAGCTGGTGAACACAGCTCGCGTCAGAGCCCGGAGGCTTCCCAAATTCCTTCGCGCTTTCCGGCTCAGGCTGATGCTTCTGTCTGCAAGGAGATCACTGGCCCAGTCTGTGTAGCCCTTCTCCAGCAGGCTGCGCAGCTCCAAGGCATCGGATTCTGCTGCAATGGAGCTCCACTCGGACGGGGAAACACCGTAGGCGGTGGCCCAGGTGTCTTCTCGGGATTTCTCATTGGGCAATGTCTGGTGTGGAACTCTTCCCACTGGCAGATCACAGGTGCCAGCTGAACTCACGGAGAAAAGACCCGCAAGTCTGAAAGGAACCAAGGATGTCATGGCCACTAGTTGGCATTGAAAGCCTCCTCCTCTTCTTCTTCCGTTTATTCCCGCTTGCTTCTTGCTTCTGTGGCTTCTTTTGCTGCATCTGTTCTGTATTTCTGTTGAAGGGGCCACATCCTCCCAGATGCTGGATCGATCTTACAGTTTATCCCAAGAGCGAATGACCCTGTATAACCTTAAAGGGTATATATATATATATATATAGATATATAGGACCCCTCATTCCCTTTCCCTACTAAGAGCCACAGGGAAGAAGCCTGGTGTCTTTCCTACAAGTAGGGTATGGCTTGGACTATTGAGGGTTTAGGGTTTAGGGTTTACGGATGATGTCCGTCATCTCCCTGAACATGCCGTATTTCAGCCAATTTGTCCACATGAGTCTCGATACGAGTCGGTTCTGTGAGTGTGCATTCTTCACGTCCCAAGAAAAGGCCATTCATTGTACAGGTTCGGCACGCTTCATCGTTCATTGGCTAGGATTGCGCTAAGTCCGTACCGACAAATCATGAAAGCTCTGCAAACCTCTGTGCTGTTTGGAAGTTGTTGCAGGCAATTACGCCATCACCACTGCGGAGGATTAGTGAGTCCGGGAAAGTCACCTGGGCTGCACCTTCCAAACCGAGTCCACTGCCTCCTGTCTCCCCTCCCCTCAAAACCATCTGCAGACCTTCCACTTCTGCTCCCCCTGTTGTAGTATTTATATTTTTTTCATCCGAAGATCAAACAGATCTTTTATGCTTTTCGGTGCAATCTAAAGAGCTTGATGTAGTATGCAGCAGGGGACGGTTTTCTCCCCGTTGAGCCTGGCCTGTTGCAAGGCTCTGTGGGAACACGGCCAACTTGCACATTCCAGTCCAAAAGGTGGCGCAACCCCTTAACATGATCCTTGGGGGATTCCCAGTTCATTGGTTGGTTAGATGGTCAATTCTGGGCAACCCCAGGCACATAAACACGGCGATTTACGCCGAGCCAGAACGTGTTTGTGACGACACCCGGACGAAGGTACATGATCTGGTCTTGGGCGTGCAGAACATGTAACTTGTGTTACTTCTGAAGGAGGGCTGTGTGAACATGTAGGACGAGAGTCTCATGGCCTCTATTCATGATGTGGATGCCAGTCAATATGACGACCTGAAGTAAACAGTTCAAACAACTGTTCCGAATTGCATACGGACTCCCTGCAAATCCTAGACAAGGCATATGGCGCACACTTTCCTCGCTTGCGAAGGCCGGACACGTCAAAGCTCTGCGTTTAGCTTGATGGACTCCTGAAGAAAGGAGACAGGTTGAGACGTTTCAGGCAGATTCTTCTCGAAGATGTCGCCCGCCAGATCTACGTGTGGGAAAGGCTCATCTGGAATCGGCTTGCCAAGGAAGTGGGCCAGTGGCGCCCAGCCGGCCGTAAAGTTGAACCTGCCAGTCAGGAGCTTTAGGAATCTACAAAAGCTGCAGCAGGGGTTTAGGGTTTAGGGTTTAGGGTTTAGGGTGTAGGGTTTAGGGTTTAGGGTTTACACGAGGTGCCTTGGAGGAGAGAGAGAGCATGGGTTGAGTTCACACGGCAGTAAAGCCTGACCAGATACTGTCCACTGAGTGCTGATTCAAAGCCGGAACATCTATATGGGTAGAAATTAGGGTTTAGGGTTTAGGGTGTAGGGTTTAGGGTTTGGGGTTTGGGGTTTAGGGTTTATGGTTTAGGGTTTCCTAAAAATTGGGTTCCCCTAATATACCCCAAATACTAAAATCCGTATCGTTGGCACCCCCAAAAAGGGTGCGCCCATTTTCGTAAAATCCCATATTTGAAGTGGTTTATATTTCTTGTACCCCCGAAAGGACACCCAGTATAATTATACACTCACCAATATTAAACAGGAACCTTATATACACTCACCAATAACAGGAATACAAACCCTGCTTCACATGGGATCCTAGTAACAAAGTGCAGCTTACTGGGCACCAGGCATCGCAACGAACCGCAATCTTGGCCAGAAGTGCTTAGAGAGGGTACAAAAGGCAAATAGCATCCACGTCGAATTCTCACCGTGAGTCCCGCCAAACTCCCTCAGCCTAAACCATGTAACGCACATCAAGCAGCACCAACAAGCGATCTGCTGGGATCACTTGCTGCACTCGTTCATTGTGATGTTGGTATGCCTGCGACGTTTAGGGTTTAGGGTTTAGGGATTAGGGTTTAGGGTTTAGGGGGAACTGAGCAGGCTTGCTGAGAGTATGTAAGCACTTCGTATCGGTAGATACAGGCCTCGACTAGTTTGCGTGATGGTGTTCCGCAGCATGGTTGTCATAATAGTCCAAAACTAAATGGTTCTGACAGGTTCCGATCTTATTGTGAATAGTTCGGGCAAACTTATTGACTTGGTTCGGGAGGAGCAACAGAAGCCCCTAACTTCATAGGCCCATGCACCCACTTAGGCCTCACACATACCCGTTTGCCTTTGCAGGATTCTCCCAACGGTCCGCTGTTCCGTCTCCTGCTAGGTTCGGCATAACTTTGACAAGAACTGCATCGTACTTTGTGCGGTTGCGCATGCCAAAGGTCAAAAACAGTGTAGCGGCGGAGCTGCCAGCAGAAAAGGGGCAATGCTAACCATCGCCATACAAGACTGCCAATCCCCAATCCACCCCTGCTAACCCATGTTAGACAAAGACTTCGCAGCACAACGCTCTGTGACGCGGTGCCCAAGTAATCCGGCGATGTCCCGCGAGTTCCCGCGCGTCATGAACCAATGCATCCTTACTATGGTGGGCCTGTAAGCATTGCCTCTTGGATTCAGCAGTGAAGTTGGCGAACTCACATCCCCAGTAGGTTGCGGCCGCGCAATAACGAATCTCCTCAGTGGGCAAGTGCAAGCCCAAGCACAAGTCCTACTGCACGTCCCGAAGTATCCAATCATGGCATAGTTGCACTTCGGTTGACCCTAACGACATCTTGCACAAAACGCCTTCTGATGCAGTCTTGTCTCCGCGTGGTCTCTTCTTTCGGCATAAAAGTCTCCAAAGTCACGACCGCTGTGTAGCCTGAGTGCCGAAATACAGCTGATATGCTGCTTTTGACCATGCTTGATGCGACGGCTTCTTTGATCTAGGTACACACTGCATGTAGAAAGCACATGCGCAGGCTTCAAAATGTGAGGAAGCCGCCAATCCGTCGTAGACATGCCTGCGACCAGCTTGACATAGCTCTCGAACCAACCTGCAGTGTGCTCCAGGCCCTTCCAGAATATTGCAAACGACATCCTGTACAAAAACCCTAACCTTTAAACCCTCAACCCCAAAACCCTGCACCCTCAACCCTACGTGACAGTAGGAAGAAAAAGGACCAACTTCGGCCCGGCAACGCTCTGGATCAGAGATGGTCAACACAAACTTCGCCTTCGGGAAAGCTTCCATGATCTCCTCTCGCATAAGAAACTTGTAAGTTGTAACTAGCCAAAACGGCCTGGGATAACTTAAACACTCAACACTCAATCCTAAACCCTAAGCCCTAAACCCTAAGCCCTAAACCCTAAACCCTAGACCCACCCCCAGATTCCTCGTAGACCAACTGGAAGGGCTCATCCATTGCGGCGTCGTAGCCCTCCAAGGTGGCCATGGCGTCTTGCAGCGGGCCGTTGGCGAACAAGTACTCGCACCTATGCTTGGGGGTTTCGGGTTTAGGGTTTAGGGTTTAGGGTTTAGGGTTTCGAACCCTAAGGGTTTAGGGTTTCGGGTTTAGGGTTCAGGGTTCAGGGTTTAGGGTTTAGGGTTAAGTCATGGTACTTATTAACAATTATAACTGTACTTATAAGTGTACTTCTAACCATATACTGAACCTGGAACCCTAGCAACAAATATATAATTTTCAGCTCTTTCTTAGGAATTATAGTATTCTAGTATCCAAAAGTTGTACTCTTGACGGTGTCTTTGGAATTATAGTATTATAGCACCCAAAAACTATACTTAGTAGCTGGTTCTTAGGAATTATACTAGTATAGTGCCCGAAATTTCAAAAACTCCAAAGTATCTAAAGCACCAGGGAATCCGCTTCTCGGACTCATAGCCGCTGTGAAGGGTTTTGTAGCCTCGGTATCCCAGTTCTTGTAATCAGGGGGCACCGTTTTTATGGGTCAGGGTTTACTGTAGGGTTCGGGTTTAGGGTTGAGGGTTTAGGGTTTAGCGTTCAGGGTTTAGGGTTGAGGTTGTGGGTTAGTTACAACCTAAAGCCAAAACAGGGCAAAAGGGTACCACTGGGTACCAAGTAGCCGAGTATGTGCAGAGCGTTGTGCATGGACTGGGTGCCAGTACGCGGCGCCCCAACATCCAGAACCTCAAATGCCAATGCAGAGGAGGAGATGAAGAACGGGAGAAGCAGCCGGGACATGAATCCCTGTCATTTGCATCTAAAAAACGGTACAGTCCGTGGAGATCACGCTTGAGCCAAGTGAGTCGGCCCAGGCATTGGCTCTCCGCATACAGAGACCGATGAGTAGCCCGCAGTCGGGCTTGATGCACATGTTTAGGGTTTTAAGGTTTAATCGCTCACGCTAGGGTCTAGGGTCTAGGGTCTAGGGTCTAGGGTCTAGGGTTTAGGGTCTAGGGTCTAGGGTCTAGGGTTTAGGGTTTAGGGTTTAGGGTCTGGAGTAGTGATCTCACGGCTAGGAAGGAGTGTTGTTGGTAGTCTTACAGGCACATTCTACCAAACTTACCAAACCCCAGAAACCTAAGCAGCGCAACCTTAGCTTCACTGAGACAGCTACGGCTCATCAAACGGGAGGATTGGGGTCGGAGCCTTCATTTTGCAAAGGTCCTTCGCAGAACAACGAGCAGAAGCACAAAATAGACAAGAAGCGAAGGGTAATTGTGACCACCACCAGGCTTAGGTTCTACATTCCACAAGCCAATCGATTTGCATGGGGGAAAGACGTTGTGCCAGTAGTCTTACCTTATTTAGGGTCGCTGTCGCGGGGTACGATCATTTTTCTTGCCAGTATCCATTCGGCGCGAACTGGCGCTCAAATGGACCATGGTTTTCATCCTCAGATCACACACACACATCTCCATCAACATCACCCTTCTTCGTGTAGCTGCCAGGCTGCCAGACAGTGCGACCATGCATGCTCAGCAGCATTCCATCAACACGCACAAGCTGAGGCTTGAACCCATCAACTCCAAGCTGCCCCTCGAGTGGGGAGCCCAGGTCTTTCCAACCTCCCTGGCCACGACGTACCACATCGCGGAGATCAGTTGGTCCTTGCTTCTTGGGTCCCTTTACTAGCTGCTGGGTCACCGATGGTCAGTTCTCAAAATTATTGTCCCTTCTTGAGTTCTCTAAATATCGGGGCCGCCTTAGAATAGTAGCCCCCCAGAAGGGGCCCTCGTTTAGAGAAGCTAGCATATGGCGGGATCAGAAGCTCAAGACTGTTTCTGCAATTGACATCTCAGGGCTGCTGGGAGTCCGAAGAGATGGGCTCGTCCGAGTCGGGCAAACCCTGCGCATCCCATTGCATGCTGCAATAGTTGCAGATACGGATCGGGAACACGCAGGCTCCGACACGATCTGTCCATCGGCTCCTGCGCCAAGCATGAGAAGCCCTGCTGCATTTCGCGCCTGCAAGCCACGTGAGGGTACTGAGGAACACCACGTGTCCTCTTCGCAGAGGCCGTTTCGGCGCCGCCTTCTTCGACGACGTCGCCTCCGGCCTTGCTTGGATGCTTGAGCCCGGCGGCCTTGGGTTCCCTCAACATTTGTGGATAGAAAAGAAAACCCTTTTCTTGCTTGTTCCCATCACACATACACACACACACACCTCTTGAGACGGAATTTCCTGTAGCCCACGACGCTCAGCTCAACCCTAAGCCCGAAGTCATGAGTCCAGCAAGCCCAAGTCGCAGGCGACACAAGTACTAGTTGTGGCTTGGGGTTTGGGTGTCATTTCCATCAGGCCCCAAGCAGCAAAACCCAAAATGTCCCCCCAAGCACCTCCTGACTTAACTCAGCAGTCGAACCCGCGCCTTGCCACGAACTGGCCACCGGCCTAAGAGCCGGGTGAGATAGTATGTGAGGAAGGTGGGGGAAGAGGAGGGCGCTTAGTTCATGAAGGTTTCTGACCTGTGGTTGTGTCTATGTCATATGAGAGGGAGGATAAAGCTCTCAGCGCACACCCTCCCAAGCTCCTCAAAGTGGAAGCTTCCACTTGGAGGGATCGACAGAATCATGCAGCCTCCCCAGGCAGGTGCTCGCGGCACAGGAGTCTCGAGTGCGCAGCGATGCGGTGGCGACGAGCCGATGGGACCGGAGTGATTCTTGCGGGACACGCTGAGCGACGTAAGCTGCTTTGTTGCCGCGATGTGGGGGTGGATCCTCCTAACCTGGCCTACTGGCACCCTAAAGCGCGGAAGATACTAGAACGGAGCTTCGCAAGGGAAGAATGTAAGTTACAAGGGTCTGAGCAGAGAAGGGCCAGGGCGCTGCGGGTCCGTCGTGGCGTAACACGCAGTGCCGCAGCATATGGACACGAGCGACGTACTTTGGAGCGACAAACCGAACGAGCTTCGAGTGAGAGCCACAGCGCACCGGCGACTTCGCGAACCAGTCTGTGATTGCTCCGAAGCCGTGGAAGCGCCATCATGGGGGCATGGTGCAGGCGGTGTTTGGGGAATAGCCGAACGAAACCCCAACCGCCAGCCACCGACTCGGTGCAACCTAGCAGCTCATACTTTCTTACACTTCAGCTATGTCCCAGTCATGGGTCTCGCCGAGCTGATCGTGAAATGAATCCTCGGTTTAAAAATTGACGCTCAAGCCATACACTTACTTCTTCAATAACCAAGGGGAAACAAGATTAAACTTTAATATTCCTACTAGATAAGGAAACCCAAAAAGTTTAAAGTTCAACTAAACTAAAGGCGAAGTAAGTACATATTTCATATTTCACAAAAGAGGTAGCAACGAGGCACAGCACGAATCAACAATCCTCACCGCAGTCCCGTACCCCAAGTATTTTACAAGTGGTCAGCTTTCCGAAAAGTGTGGGTCTCTTGAGGTTCTTGCAATATAACGGAGCCTCTTACATGTAGGGGCATACCCCCAAAAGAGTGCAGAGTTCAGAGTTCACCCCTTCCACTCCAGCTTCTTTGGTCAACAAGAATGCAAGTCCGAGCATCGGGGAGAAGAAGAACCTGTGTTCGACTGCTACCCAGGAAGCGCTCCGAAGTCAACTCATGCTGCAGCTTTAGTCTTCCGAGATCTTGGAGAGCATCTGGATGGTTTTGCTGCAGGTGTAGAACTCCACATTGCGCTGCCGTGTGCGAAAACGAGGCATCTCGCGGAAGAAGCGCCAGGGCATCCGCTGCTTCTTCTCATGCCTCGTTCGTGGAGGCGTCACCAGCTTCCCCGCACCTTACTTCTTCAAAAAGCAAGGGGAAAAAGGGTTCAACTTTAATATTCCTACTAAATAAGGAAACCCGAGAAGTTTAAAGTTCAACCAAAGGCGAAGCAAGGCACCACGCGGGTCCAGGAAGAAGGTGCCACGAAAGTCCAGGCCCAGCGCGTCTAAAGCCATCGCCAGGAAGTTCGCCGGCAACTCCCCTAGACTGCACCCACCCAGCATCAGCCAGATTTTGCCCGTGAGAGAACCATGCAGATGAGTCCCTTCAGGGACTGGCAGGCCTGAGAGGCCACAAGGTCCATAATCCAGCATCCCCAAACTTCTCTCTCACAGAGAAGGCTCCAGAAGCAAGCCATGGCTGCGAAGTTCTCAGGCTTGCCCTTCCCGACGGCACCCGAAAAAAGAAGGGTCACACAGGCATCGGACCCGGTGGACCCTGTAGGAACTTCGGATGCATGAGAGTCATGAGAGGCAGGCTTAGGGCTTGAAGGATTTGGCAAGACTGTGGCCGAAGCACTACACCTGGGCTTTGGCAGAGGGGCGCACCTGCTGTGCCCATGTCCAGCAAGCACGAGCTCAGGCCAGCGAAGCGGAATATCTGCAGCGCGTGCAGTCATGGGGTGTTTTCGGGGCTCTAAGGATTGAGGTTCGGGCTTTGGGAATCGCTGTGTCCGCAGTGTGTTGGCAGCAGCTTCCTCGAAGCGCTTGGCGGCTGGCTTGGCCGCAACTTTGGGGGCCAAGGCTGTGCTTGGCCGAGACACAGGCTCCAAGCGGGCACGCGGCAGCAGCTGACTGAGAGCGCACGAACACCCCGGGTTTAGGCTGTGAGCGTGTAGATCGAGATGAACCACAGCAGAATCTTGTCAGCTTGTCGTGGCCGTACAGCGCGTTGAGACAAGCACAGCACTGGATACAGCCTGCGTGGGACATGCGGCTGCGTGAGCGAGACATGGCGAGACGGGACTGTGAGGCTGCCAGAGGCTCTTCTCTCCCACTGCAGGGGAATGTCCTCGGCAATTCGGCACAGCCTCGCCCTCAGACTCAACAAAGGCCAGAGCAGGCGGGTGAACTTTTCAGACGGAAGAAGTCTGCCACAGGTGAGCACGCTCTACCGCAAGCTTGCGGGCACCTTGCTTTCTTGATGGAAACTGTTGTTTTGGGACGACCCCTAAATGCGCAGGCCCCAAGACTAGTTGGACCACCTATAGGCCCCAGAAGCCCGACACGTAAAGGCCTGCTGTGGTTTCCGACTTCGGCAGGAGAAAGCTCCGAGCGGCCGTGCCTGGATGTATACAAAACTCCATGAGATGATCACATGGAATTCCAGCTCCAGCTCTACCAGTTGCCTCAGTTCAGGGACTTCAGGGAAATCAGCGCACTGGGATCCATTGCAGGGCTGCAAGGTGAACCGAGCCGCCATCAGGTGAGCCTCAGGGGGTGGCCCCATCGTGATGATCCATCTACGGCACGCCGTCGCCCAGTTGTCTCTGACGGAAAGAAGGTGTGCAGGACAAGCCCAAGAGCCTCTTTCCTTCGAGTTTCCGTGGAGATTGTGGTAAGGAATGCCCAGGTAGTTCTGACCGATGTAGTGCTAAACAAGGCCGAAGTCACGGAGCTGCTCCCGAGCTCGAGGACGCGGTATCGCGAACAGCTGCGGTATCACAGCCCGATCTCGGGAAGGTTGTCTTTGGGAGTTGGGAGTTGGTGTATGCATCACAGGAGCACACAGGTAAGAAAAGACACGATGCGTCTTGGAGCTGTAAAACATGAAAGAGAAAGGATACAATCTCTTGGAAATCCTCCTTGTGCCCGGCCTTGCTCGGGCCCTCCGCCAAAGAAAAAGCATTGGCCTCAAGCTTCTCGTGAGGGCAGGTACGGTGCTCAGCACACGGCCAAAAGTGCCTTTCGTCTGTTTTGGCAGTGACAGGCCAATCGCAGGCCCATCACAAACGTCACCTTGGCCTTACGTGTGGAGCCATCTGAAGCAGTGGACATAAGCAGTGGGGGTTGCGTCCGCTAGGCTGGAGGCTCAAAGATTGCAATTGCTGAGAGCTTACATTGTGCACCTCTGCGGATGACTACTTACGATATCTCGAGGGCAGCGGCCGCATCACCAAGGAGGCGAGGAACGTCGGGTCAGAAGCTGCCAGCTTCTGACACAACAAACTCCAACCCCCAAAATAGCCCAACCATCCCAAGGCTTGATGAGACCAATGAAGTCTTGCAAGTACCTCGACTCATGAACCTTGACGCTTGACGACCCGCAGCTGAAGAGAAAAGCATTTCGGGCGGACCTCTGCTTTGAAGCAAGCTCCCTCGGCCCCGTTGGCCCTTGCGCAAGTCACGACCTGAGGGCCGAAACGCATGGTGAATGTGGTCATGACTCTACCCACCAAGGTGACAAAACTTACACATCCCAGGAGTCATTCCAGGCATCCCTGGATACGTTGCAATGAAATGAAGCTGCTACTTGTGGAGCCTCACCCCCATTTCAGAGGCTGTGACGTTTCGTGCTAGCACGTGAAAAGGATGTCGAGCACTTGCCGACGGAGGCTGAAGTTGCAGCAGCTGTGGCACTTCATCCAAGATGCCGAGACCGAGACCGTGGAGCGCAACGGACGGGTGGCTACATGATGGGCGGAAGGAGGGCTGAAGCTGGATGTTGCTCGCGTCCCCTTGCTGACACGGTTTCTGATTGAGTCTAGGCAGCCTCGAGCAACCTTCGGCATTCCATAGGAATGCGACTCCCTGCAAAGGCTCCTCGAACTACAAACTTCAGCTGGGCTGCAAACCAAGATCCAGAACGCACGGCCCCAAACCTTCGAACCCGATGCCAAGAGAGTCCAGCAGCGACCTGCGAAGCAGCACTTCGGCGTACGCCCTCACTCCCGTCCCTGGCTTCGGGTTGGGGGGGGGGTCCATCTCCAACAGCGGCGGCTCACTGATTCGAAGGGGTTTGTAGGGTTTGCTTTGCTGCCCCCTGACATGGCTAAGGACGAGTCAAGGCCGCTCACGACCGACATCTTCAATCCAGCCCTTCAACTTCGGTGGGTTGTGTCATGGGGTCATGAGTGGAATGATGAAATCCCTGAGGATCCCCGATATCCAGCCAACCACTCCATGGATGTATCGCGCGAGCACTGTCAATGGTGAATGGCCCCCCGCTTTCCGTCTCGGAATGCCTGGGAGTTTAGGCAACGCCGTGTCGGACCACAATGCAGCTGCGACAGCGAGGGGTCGGAACTTCAGGTTGGATCAGTTGCCCGTACCGGGCCTGGGCGAAGTCAAAGCTCATCAGCCCGGCACCGAAATGCTGCAGGGAGAAGTTCAATCGGCCAGAATCGGTGCGAGACTCACAGATCAAAGAGGTGCGCTGGTCGGCTGCGCATGCTACCGGCGCCATGCATGCTTGCAAGCCGCTCCTAGGCGGCTCTGGGATGTTTTGCAGTCTCCCAATCGTTGCACTGCACCCAAAAGCAGCGACTGACATTGGCATTGCTGTCCTATTCCTGTGGCGGCAGGACCAGTTCACCTGCACAGCTTGATCATTGGTTGAGGCTTCGGCGAACCGGTTCCCTGTGGTGACATCAGTCGGCCACAGCTACGGGCTGGCTTGGCATGACTTGGGCAGTCAAGCCTGTGTCATCAAACAGGTGTTACCGATGCCTCCGGCGGTCTGGTGAAACTACTGAGGTTTTGTGTGGCCCAAGCCTCTAGCCTCGAGCACCAAGTCTGAACACAGGCTTGTCCTGGCAAAGAGATCTAATGTGATCTGACTATGGTTTGTGGATTCTTATGGCTTTTTCATACGCCCTTCGCGTTGTACGACCTGTCTAGCTAGGTCCGCGAGGTTACTCGCAAATGCGTTGCAGGTGTGGCAGAGCGACAGATTTTCAGACACAAGTAGATCCGCGCTCAGATTGGCCCCTCTCCCCCCAAGCGCGCCGCAAAACATCGGAGAACATGACAATCACTGCTGCTTCAATGCAGGTCAGAGCGTGGCCTAGAACCGAAAATGCAGGCAATGCAGGTAGTGACGGGGCTCCACCTCTTCGTTGAACCTGCAGCACGCAGGTCGGACCATGAAGGGACACTGGGCCACTTTTTGGGTATCAAAATCGAAGCTCTCTGTTTCTGCCATATTGCTTTTGCTTCTGGAACCTGAAAAACCTGTGTGCGACCTGGTGACATGCGCTTCTGCAGCAAAGGCGTCACTTCTGGACCCTGGTGCAGTAGATCAGGTTAGAATCATGTGCAGACATGAGACAGCCAGTGTATCACGTGCAACCTCGAGCAGGCAAGCTGTCCTGGCAATCTTTCACTGAAGTTGCAAGGAGGTGGCGAGTTGGCTTGCTGTCTGATCACAGAACCGGAGCCTCAGCGAGTCATCGCAAGTGCGTGTGGCGCACATCCACAACCTGCACATGTCCGTACGGACCGTGCTCGTGAAACTGCATTGTTGGTAGGTACACTATTGGCATGAGGCAGCACGGCCGCTGGTAGGTCTTTCCGTCGTTTGGCGCACTGAGGTGGACGTTAAAGCCAAGTAGGACTTCTTTTGGGAATGAGGGCAGCCAAATTACACCCCAAAAGTGGGTTTCGCTGGTGCAACCACGGCATAGAACAAGTCAACAGGATGAAGTCACACCCTGCACCTCTGGCGCAAGAATCGCAAGACGAGGAAGCACATGCTGCAATACGACCACGAATGTAGACCCGCAGAGCGGAGCCTGGATCATGACTTGCAGGAAAGCAGGGCGTTCAATGGTATATAGTGGCATGCCCACATGTTCCCAGCTACTAGTTGACGACGAGTCTTGGATGGCGCGAGCAGCTGGAAGCAGAACAGCTGATCAGGCTGGCAAGGGCCGAACAGAAGAGACCCCCCCAAAGGCGCACCCCCAGCCGAGCTTGGGTGAACCTTGTAAGCCCACAACCTCCAAAACCAACCTCGGCGAAGTCAGGCGACGTCGACGAAAACAAGAGAAGGGTTTACGAAGCTGCGCTTGCCGAGCCTGATGTTCTCCACTTGCCACCTCTCAACTTGCCCCCCAGCGGGGTCGACGAACCCTGAACCCGAACAAGCCTCGACGAAGGCGGGGAAGCTTCGACGAAGGCGCGAGGCCTCGACGAAGGCCGGCGGGCTTAAACGAACTTTGTCCAAGATTCGCGTGGTGACTGCCCTTTGGACGGGTCCCTTGCGTTTGCCCCAAATGCAGGATCCTCACGATCTGCACAACCATGCGTCAGCAACTAGCTCTTCTGTCTTTGCCAGCTGCACAGGCAGAAACAGCAGGTGGTTCAATCTCTCAGTTGAGGTTTGGAGGCAGTCCAAAACGAGGCTAGTCATTTGTGCAACCTCCTGTCTTTTCTTGCGCCCGTCGCAGTGAAACCCATGCCATCTGCTTCGAACAGCATTTCCGGCAGCTGGGCTCAAGGCTAAAGCCTTCCTCTGCGAGTCCTAAACAAAGCATCTGCAGGGGTCCAACTCAGCGGGGCTATCCGGTGCTCCATCATACATGCTGCGCTCTCCTTCATTTGACACAGAGGTTCTCCTCGCATGAGAGGAAGCCGGCGAACTGAGATTGCGCGCCGCCGCATATCCAGCTTTCGCTCCTGGACAGCTGGACGAGTTGCGCCGCAGGGAATATGCAGCTTATGGTCTTCAGGGTTGCAGGGCTCGGGCTGCGCGCGCACATGGCTGGGGCACAAGCCTCCGTGAAGGAACCGGTTCACCAGAAGACCTCAAGGTAGGGAACAGAAGTCTCAAGTCAAGGGCTCAGCTGCTGGGATGCCTCCTTCTGAGACGACGGCCCCGATCAGGGATCACGATGGGGGCCCGAAAACAGGTCGGCACCACCTTGCATCACCATCTGCTTGGGTTAAGGGAAGGGGTGGTGGGAAAATGCGCGGGGCGGGCCTCAATTCCCGAAGCTTCCGGCAAATTTCGAGTGACAAGCCATGATTGCCGAAAACTCGCCGCCGAAAGGGAATCAATAGGCTGTCTGAGGCATCCCCGTTGACAAGGGGGACGCGTCAGACAGCTCCTCCCATCTTTCTCCGCGCAGGCAAAAGAAGAAAGGGACAGAGATGTCGGAGTTGCCTCAGCTGAGGGTAGGAGGCCGTCCAAAACGAGGCTTGCACGGCCTTCACAGTTGCAACCTTCCTCTGCGAGTCCTAAACAAAGCATCTGCAGGGGTCCAACTAAGCGGGGCTATCCGGTGCTCCATCATACATGCTGTGCTCTCCTTCATTTGACACAGAGGTTCTCCTCGCATGAGAGGAAGCGGGCGAACTGAGATTGTGCGCTGCCGCATGTTCTCCCAGATAGCTGCGAACTGCGCCGCAGGGAATATGCAGCTTATAGTCTTCAGGGCGGCAGGGCTAGGGCTGTGCGCGCACATGGCTGGGGCACAAGCCTAAGGAATCGGTTCACCAGCAGACCCCAAGGTCGAGAACAGAAGTCTCAAGTCAGGGGCTTAGCCGCTGATTCTTCCGATGTCGCAGTTCCTGTCGCATCAACTCGGCAGCGCATATGAGTCGTATCGCATCCAGTGCACGCGAAACCGGCAGGCTCGCGAAGTGTCACGCAGTTCCCTGCCTTTCACGGCAGTCTTTACAAAGCGAAGCCTTGGCCGTGAAAGAAAGCGCCTACAAAGGGGCATGCCACTTTGTCGCATGCATACGAGATTGGTAACCTTTGTGTTGACGTGCACCATGGTGCACCCAAGTGGCACTGGATGCTTGCAGTCTGGGGCAGCGAACTGCAAACCCTCCCCTGGCATAAGCAGGCTCCCATCATCTTTGCAAGCAGTTACACGGCTTCGGGAGGTTTTGCCTGGAGCCAATGCAAGCCAAGACATGAAGGCCCCTGCAACAGCTGTCGGGCACATCTTAAGAATCATGGCCGCACATGAAAGGGCCACCTGGGCTTCAACATCAGTGCACGCTCACGCCTACAACCTAGTTGGTGGCACGATTCTGAGTTTGACATTGTGCTGCAATGTTGCGGCTCTCTACATAGATGCACCAGGGTCGCACGCGAATAGGCATGTGTGGCAGTGGAAGGAAAATATGTGCTGAAAGGGCCATCCACAGATAAAAACTCACACCAACCTTGCCATGAAGATGTGCGGACGCACGGCAAGCACTTCACCTCAAGTGGGGGGCATACTGTGGGGAACACGCTTCACGAGTTGCAGCTGCAGGCAGCTCTACAAGTTCTTAGATTTTGCTCGCCTGCCAGCGGCAGCTGCACAGGCAGTGAAAAACCCATCCAGTCAGGGGACGCGAGCAAGGTCCACAGCTTTGCATTCACTGCAAGTGGCATGCCTCAAATATGCTGTTGTGAGGGGGGGTTTGAGATGGTGGATTGTCGGGCGTTTGGCTTTCTAAAGCCCAAATATTTTAGAAGTTGGCGCGTCCGGGGCGCTCAAAGGGCACAACGGTGGACATCAAAGGCAGCAGCTTCATGTGGAGAGGAGTGCAGTTGAGGTCCAGCTCACTTGGCCAGTGGATTGGCAACAAGACCCTCAGATTTTGGAACCATGGCGCCTCTGCACCAGGCGCAGAAGCAAAATGATCGGAATCACCAGCCAATGCTTTGCCAACAAGCATGCGTGCAGTCGGACCAGAGCCACGGCAATGGATGGTGGAACTGATGCAATGATAGATCAATGCTTGCACAGCCTCTGTCTGTGGAGCTGCCTCGCCAACGCAATAAGTAGGTTGAAGAGGTAGAGCTCCGACCAGCTTTCCGGGCAAGGTTCACAGCGCAATGGTCCTGAAACAAGGGCATGCAAGTGCGAGCATCTTACGCAGCATGGTGGCTGACCCAATCCACCCATGCCAACTGAAACTGGGTTGGCCCAGACGAGTGTCACCAGACAATACGCTTAGCGGACGATGCGCTCTCACGCTTTTGCCTATCTGTCCACATGGTCCCAATGCGAAGCGAAAGTCCCAAAGACACAGGACACGCGAAAACTTGGCCCAACGCAAGAGCAACTTAAGCTGGGCCCATGGGGCTGGCAATGGAAAGGCCAACTTTGCGGCAGTCAGCATGGAGGTCCACAGATTGGCTTCGGATCGAGATCGACTACAAAACCATGGGTTGGGTAAGCGGACGAATTTCGGGCATCCGGAAGATGTATGGGTTGTCCCCTCGTGGACTTGCCGAGTGCCTGAGATGCAACTTCGTATATGTCGGGCATCTCCGACACCCGAGCTACAGGCGCACCATCGCTGCAAGGTGCAAGGTGCAACTTGCACAAACGTCGACCTAACCACCGACATTGCGACGCCAAAGGGTCTTGGATGATAGTGCAGATTGGGGGCTGCTAGGTCAGCTTGTCGCACCCTCGGCGATCCTTATGGTGTGCGCGCAGCGTTCGCACCTGAGATCACCCGGGACACCTGTGCCACAAGGCCACTCCAAGTACGACATGGGAGCCTAGCGCTGGCAGAGAGATCCGCCGACACATGAAGCAAGAGTCGTTTGAGTCTACTGGGTCTGCATTAGCATCGAGTCTTTCCGGATCATATGCCCTCGCATGCACTACAAGCATTTTGTCAGGATCATAGCACACTGCCACGGACGGGCGAATTCCATTGCTAGGCCTCACTGCACCCCATGGAACAACTTCCATGCGGCGGATAAGCACCTGCCCGGCATTGGCAAAGTCATGCCAAACAACCGGACGCATCTCGAACACCACAAGCGTGCCATGCAAAGACGGTATCGCGCAATGACATGTGTTCACTCGTGCGCATGCTTGGCCTGGCAAGGGGGAACATGTGGTGGATGTCATTGGTAACATCCACATGTCACATGGGTTCGCAAAGAGATCTGGCTTCTAGATGTGCGACAAGCCCACCACAGGGAAGGGCACCGGCCGGTTCAGGACAAGCGTCCAAAAGCGATTTCGAACACCAGTCGGATTATGGCCAGCGGCTGGTCCAGAAAGGTTCTGCTTCGTGGCTCCTCGCCAGCATGGACAGCATCATCGCCTTCCGCAAGGGGTACAGCCATCTCCATGTGTTTTTAGGGGCCTGAATTGTGAGAATACGGTTTTTTGGGCGGGGAATATTTCATTGGCATTGGTGCCCTGTAATATTTTCTCCCATCTGATCAGTCAAATAACCCACATCAACCAGGAAAACAAACTCTAAACCCTAAACCCTAAACCCTAACCCTAAACCCTAACCCTAAACCCTAAACCCTAAATCCTAAACCCTAAACCCTAAACCTAAACCCTAACATCCCTGCCTGGCAGCGCCATGGTGCTTCAGCTTGAGAACCGGGGTGAGGGCAAGTAACTGATGCCCTTTCAAAGCGCAGACTGCCACAGCCAATAGTCAAAAATAAAACAAAGTGGTTAAAAAAAACGAGCTCACCATTCATGGAATTAAACGGCCACAGATGACATGTCTGAATGAAAGGTATGATCGCGTTCACAACTAGGAAGTTACGTGGCGGCATCAGCTTCATGTGGTGCCCCGAATGTTATGTCTTGTTCGGGTCAGTCATCCAGCAAATTGGCCAACTGGCCATCGACAACTCATCCTAAACAACAACCTAATTTCTCGACCGTGGCTCCCCAACCCCAGACGCCTCCATCGAGTTTCCATGCAGTGCCACTTCGCCCAAAATAAACGAACATGCGCGGTTAGCCACACGGCGTCCGTATGAATGCAAGGATCTTTGAACAGCTTACCCCCCTAAACCCTTTTTTGAGCACGGACCCTAAACCCTAAACCCTAATTCCAAAACCCTTACTAAACCCTAAACCCTAAACCCTAAACCCTAAACCCTAAACCCTAAACCCTAGAAAAATATTGCGTGCCTGTCTCTCGATTTTCAACTCACGGAACTCCCAAACATATTTTCTCATATTTATTGGGATGTTCCCCCTTGTAATAACAGTCCTTAATAGGGATTTTTTGTGCGCCCTATTATAATCCCTATTAAGGACTGTAGGCCCCTCGTATATTCCCAATAAAGGACTGTTAGTACAAGGGGGAACATCCCAACATACTGTATTTCCACCACTTCTTAAACACGCACGCGCAGACGCAGGTTTGGAGTCCTTTCCTACTCATCATGTGCATTCCTCCTTCCACTCATGTTTGGACACCGTGTCCGTTGGAACGTCGTCCAAGGCAAAGCCCTTCCACTAAGCCGACGACATCTTCAAAGGTTGCATGCAGTACAGAAAAGGTCGTCGTGGCTTTCGTAGAATGCCCAATGCGTATGCAACTTCTCCCAAACATCCCACAAAGTCTGCCTCGCAGAGGAAACACACTTGCAATTCAATCGAACAATGTGGGCATTTTACACACACACACACACACACCTCAAAGGACTGCGATCTTTGTTTTTGGGCCCCCCACCCCGAACAGGGTCCACCCCCCGCCACCTTTTGAAGTTTCCGTGTCTTGAGCTAAGTCTCCTTTTTTCACCAGGGACGTGACTGCTCTTGTTGCCCAGCCCGATCTTCCAAAAACCTCAAATAGCCGACCCCCTAAAAACCCCCTAAACCCCGCAATCGAGGCTCCAAAACCAAAAGACCACGACCCCAGCTCGCCCTTGGCATTTCCGTGGGCCAACTTCAGTTGAGCTCCGGACGTTTGCTGACTCTTGCGGGATGACTTGAGCAATTCTCTAAATTATGTGGTCACTTTTGGGGTAGTACGGAGCCTTACCTTTAGGGTACAGGACCCAAAACTCAAACAAGGACGGCAATCCCCGCAAGTGTTCCGTGGCCGAGGGTACACTGCTTGGCAAAGCATAAAGGACAAAAACAATTGCCCGTTTCGATATATCGGCAGCCTGGCATGATTTCCACTGGCTCTGCATGCAATTGGGAGATGTAGGGGGATGAAAGGGTGTGGCTGACAGAGACAACCATGCATAGACGCAAGCTTTGTACACCGTAGGGGCGGAGTAGCTGTTGTCTTAACTGCGGCTACGCAAAACATGACCTGTGCAGTTCTGCATCAGGAAACCTTTAAAACCCTAAAAGCAGGAGGCCTTCAAGACTTCGTGAAGCACTCCCGCCGAAACAGTCGGTGTATGTCTTTTACACTAACGTGGTTAAAACCGGCACATCTTCTGATCTCAGGGATGCGCGTGTGCCTCAGGGCATAAAGAACACATAGACCGGGAATTCCAAGCCGTCCAAGGCCTTCCTCTCCCAACGGCAGCCTATCCCCAGTGGCAACTTGGTCCGCGGATGCACCTTGGCCTCACGCAGAAAGCTTCGGCCATTGGAGACTTGTATGGACCCTTCGCCCCAGCCCTCTGGCTTGCCATTCTTGAAAGTTTCCCTTGGGAGCCTGAGCTGATCAGCGGAGGCGTCGCTGAGTTCAGAGGATCCTGCTCCGTACTTCGCCACCCAATCCTTGCTTCTTCAAAAACCAAGGGGAAAGAAGGTAAAACTCTAATATTCTACTTTCCACTAGGAAACCCAGAAAGCTCAAAGTTCAACTAAAGGTGAAGTTAAGAATCATCTTGGTAAATGTTCGAAGTCGTGCAGCAAACGACAGCGCCCTCCTCATGGCTCTTTTTCACAGCTCGGAGCCAATGACAGCACCAACAGGGGTGCTTGGCGCCAGCTGCAGGCTCCTTGTCGCCGATCCTTGACTCGAGCATGGCGTTCCACATGGGATGGCGCCCGGGCCCTGGCGGAGGTACCTCCACCATGTCGCGCCCGCACTCCTCGCCATAGGGATGCAGCCATCTCCCGGAGTCAGCGCTGATACCAAAAACGGGGATGCCATCGAACCAAACTGTTGCAGCACTTCCTTTCTCCTCCCGGAGTTTTGCCATGACCAGCTCATAGGCACTGCCTCCAGGTACCGACGCCCCACTTGCCGTGAAAAGCAGCCGCATGTCTTGAAAGCAATCATAGGAATAATAATAGGTGAATACTAGCCCAGTCCCAGCAGCTTCATTGCAAGTCTGGACAAAGGCTTCATCAGTACAAAGGTTGTCTCCAGCCAGTCGCACCAGCCAAGAAGCGCGCGTCGAACGGACTGCATCTAGGACAAAGGTCCGGTCAGACCTTAACCTTTTGGAGGCATACTTGAGCGCCACGCCATTGTTGTGAATGGCAGCCAACACGGTGCGAACATCGTCCTGCAGCTCTTGTGAGGCATACTCCAAGGTCACACCGTTCCGCTCAACCGCAGCCAGGACGACGTCTTTGTCCCCGCCAAACCTTGTGAACCTCAAAGCTTCGCCATTCTGCTGGACTGCAGCTAGCACGACCTCACGATCCTCCTGAAACTCCGGGAAGGCAAACTGCAAAGCTCGCCCGTCCTGTCGGACCGCAGCCAGCACGATGTCCTTCTCCTTGGCGATCTGCCTGTGTACGAACTTCAGAGCCCCTCCACGCGAACTAACTGCGGTTTCAGCAATGAATTTGTCTTGCTGCAATGCTGGAGAAGCAAACTGTATGGCAAAACCGTTCTGCTGGACTGCCCAGAAGACAACCTCACTGTCGCTTCTGAGGACTGCGTGTGCGTATTGTAGAGCCCAGCCATTCTGCTTGACCGCCTGCGTCACGATCTCTTTGTCTAGCTTCATAGCATCTACGAGGTGTTGCAACGCGCCTCCGCGATGGCCGACCGAATCCAAGGCACATTCCTTGTTTGTCTGCATCTTCTCAGGCAGGAACTGAATGGCGAACATTTCAGGGCCGTGAAAGTTCGGGAGGTCTGCAGCACGCTGGAGCGAGGTGTCGGCAGCTGCAACAATGTCTTTGTTGTGCAGCAATTCCTCCGGCGCGTACTCGAGGAGAGAGCCATTAATCTCCACTGCCTGCATAAAGAAGGCTTTGTCGTGAAGTAGCCTCTCGGCTGCAAACTGTATCGCTTTGTGGTCGGCTGTGAGGGCAGTCAGGACAATATCCTGCTTGCTTCTCAGGCCATCCGATGCAAACTCCAAGGCAATACCCGTCTTGCGGACTGCAGCCATCACACACTCAGAGTCTTCCCGCAAGTTCCGCGAGGCGAACTGCAAGGCCAGTCCGTTCTGCGTGACTGCTGCGAGGACCACCTCCCCGTCCCCCTGTAGATCTCGCGGTGCAAACTGCAAGGCCAGGCCATGCTGAGCAACTGCCTCTGTGACGACGTCTTTGTCACATCGCAGCTCCTCTGAGGCGAACCGCAAGGCAAATTCGCCTTGCTTGGCTGCAGCCATGACGATCTCTCTGTCCCCTTGCAATTGGAAGAAAGCATATTGCAAGGCGGCAGAGTCCTGCGCGACGGCGGCGGTGACAACCTCTCTGTCCCTCTGTAAGGTTTGGGGTGCAAACTGCAACGCAAGTCCGTTCTGCATGACCGCAGCCAGAACCACAGTCTTGTTTGCCCTCATTCGCTTGAGGCTGAACTCCAAGGCCATGCCATTGTGCTGGACCGCGGCCATTACAATCTCATCGTTTCCTTGATGGAGCGGCGCATACTGCAAGACTCCTGCGGGTTTCCGACATTAAGGGAACCTTATTTGGGGTCCCTATTATTGTAAGGGAATCCTCTATTGGGAGACTATATTGGGGGTCCCTATTTTCGTAAACCCCCACCTGAATGTTCCTGGACTGCGTTGAGGACAAACTTTGCATCCTTCCGCAACCTCGGGGAGATGTACTGAAAAGCTGTGTAGTTCAAACGAACAGCAGCCATGGCAAACTCTTCGCTGTTCTTTAACGTCTTCGACGCAAGATCCATTGCTGCCTCGAGATTCTGCTGGGCTGCGGCTAAGATGATGCTTTGACTGTTCCTGCACTCTTCTGCGGCAAAATGTAGGGCTTGCCAGTTGTTGGCCACGGCATCCAGAACAAGGCCTTGGTCGCCTCGTAGCTCCTCCCCAACATATTGTAGCGCACGGCCATTCTGCTGCACCGCGAACCTGGCGAGCTCAGCATCATGCGTCAAGTGCTCATCTACAAACTCCAAGGCCAGGCCGTCTTTCTTGACCGCCCGACGCACTATGTCCTTATCAGCTTTGAGGGCATCTGGTGCGAACTGCAATGCTTGTGCGTTTTGCATAACTGCCAGCCAGACAACGTCTCTGTCATTTCTCAGCTCGGCTGGCGCATCGGCAAGTGCCATGCCGTCCTCGCGAACCGCATGCATAACAGCAGGCTTCATCGGCACCGGCGCTTCATGCTCTGGCTCGACCGGCTCACTGGGCTCGATTGGCGGTAAGGATCTTCGCTTTGCACGTGCCATCCTCGCCGCGCCAACCCATGAACTGCGGCGGTGCTCGCTTGCCGCCCATGAGCTGCGGCGCACATCGGTGGACGACGCCATGAGGCCGGTGAGAACCGCAGAAATGGATATCTAGATTGCGGGTGATAGATAGCTTTCTTATGCGTTCTTACATGATGGCTCTTGGGGCGACTCTCCCTTGAGTTACGGTGTTGTTGGCATGGAATCGCGAGCCAATGCTCATTCCCAAGCACAAGCATCAATAGAGCAACAGTGCGAATCGTGACCAGACCCCCCGCCCCTCTGCCCTACTGAGTTTCCATGGCAGTCCCATGCAGTCCCTCATGGTTCAGGGTTTAGGGTTTTGCCTTTAGGGTTTAGGGTTTAGCCCTGGGCCCTGCCAACATAGTGCGAAAGAGAAACCTCATGTCGTTCTACGTCGGCTTGCATGGAGCTGTCAGAAGCGCGGCAGCAATTTCGTCACACGCGGGCCAGTGAACGTAGCACGCTCTGCGTCCAGTCGCGAGGAGTTTCTGAACACTGAGGCCCTTTGTTAGACTCTTGGTTTGCACAGCCCTGTGCAACAATTATCGCCTCACTCAGTCCGTGACCTCGATGGTCTGGCGTGATTGGAACTTTGAACAGCCGCGGCTGGGCCGGTGCACCTTTGAAAACCTTCCTTGACGGCTGGGAAAGCTTTGAAGAATCAGGCATCAGAATCTTCACTGGCTACACACTTCACAAAGGAAGCAGCGCCCCTTTGCATTGAGGAGAACACCTCGAAGTTGATTGCGGGATGGTGCTTGACGACGCCGTGCTGAATGCGGGCCTCATGTCATCATCCAGGCTGTCACTGCAGCACGCCCTCGTGTACCCTTCAAGCGCTCGGCATCTTCCTAGCCTGTCCAGCAAACCATGCCACCAAATCAGCTAACCGCACGTAACTTTTGCCAGGCTTTCATCCGAAAGGGCCCCCCAAAATAGTACACCCTGAGACCCCAAATCAACTCCCCAACCCCGCAACTCTTCCCGGCCTCGGCTATGAACCCGACGGGTGACCAGTCTTCCGAGCACTGGGAGTCTCCCTGGCGCTGCTTGGAGAAGTCATAACAATCGGGATGGCTTTTCTGTAGCTACACCAAACTGGTTTCGGGCTTGGCGCTCTAAAACGTGAGGGTCTACATCCCTTCAGCGCTTCAGGTTGAAAGGTACGGGCTCGGAAACATTTCAAAACCAAAAGGCCTCAACAAATGGAGATGCTGCCCCACTGGGGAACGAGCGCGCCGTACTTGTCACTGGCAGCTGCCTTCTGAGAGTCCTGCTCCCAAACAGACCTCGGCAGGGAACAGCTGCAGCACTTTAGTGCGCAAGCATAGAAGGGCGCGCAGGGATCAACGACCTGACGAGCTTTGCACTTAGGCCCTGGGGCAGAATGCTGCATCTTCTTTTGCACCTGCCGCCTAAGGCCAATACCCTATAAGGCTATAAGGCCCGAAGGCAGGAAACATTGACCACGGCAAGCCGTGAAAGACTCAAGAATTCGTAAGAGTCCGACAATCAGAAGGACGAGTCGCTGCGTCAGCAGGCAGCCCAAAAGCCGCCCAGACGCGGAAAAAACGACCCGAATCTTAACGCTTCCTCATGCTGCATCCTTTAACCAGCCCGGACATGTCCTTCGGCCGGCGCCTGGGCGTGTTCACCCGATTCGCTAGATGCAAGGAGCGATCAAAATTGACTGACACATTTTGAGCCACAAAATTGACTGACACATATTGACATGGATGACTTCGATGCTGCTACGGAAGTCAGAAGGACGTCGAACGGGATCCCGAGGAACTGGAGCGACTGATCTGAAGGCGGTTGCATCGAGCCTCCTCTGCTGCATCGATGTTCTTTCCAAAGCCGAGGCGACGACAGAAACACACTGTGAACAGCAGCAGGGTCACCAAGACCACCAGCGCGGAAGCATAGAAGGGCGCGCAGGGATCAACGACCTCATACAGCTGTGTAGCCGCAAGGCCGGCCAGAAAGGTGCCAAGTGAGTCTGCATTGCGAGTGGCGGTCTGCATTGCAATGAAGGTCTCTGCAGAGCCCAAGGAGTAGAAGACGTTCAGGTCGGTGTTGGCCTTGATGGTATAGGTGTAGGCCGTTCCCATGAGCACCTGCGCCACGACGGAGATCGGAAGAAGCGGGCTGGCAATGGCCAGATTCAAGAAAACCCAGATCACCATCCAGCAGCTCACGTTGTAGGGCTGGCCTGTTGTAGCATACCAAAGCCAACGTATGCCCCGGGTCTCTTTCAGGTCAACCACCTTACGCTTCAAACACAGCGAGATGGCCAGCGCAGCAAGGATGTCGCCACTCGTCTGCGCAATGCCTGCCCAGGTCGCCTCGTTCCAACCGTGATGCTCCTTGAAGAAGATCGCATACGTCACCCATACGGTGTGGTAAGAAAAATGGTTTGCGAACCCGTTCAGGCAAATCATGATGGCCGGCATGATCGTGTTGGCCGGGATTTTGCCGCTCCTTGTGCTCGACGTGGTCTGGGAGGAAGCCGGCTTTTCCACCTGCACCTCCTGCACCTCCCCTTTTTCTGGATCCTCTTCTGCGTGGTTGGTGAGCATTCCCTTTTCTGATGCTACGGGACAGTTCAGCACATCCAGATCCACATGATCCACATCTGCCATGGCTTGAGACCGGAAGGAGTCGTCGCTTTGGGCGGAGTCCACACGCTTCCTGGTTTCCCTCACTTCTTGAGAGCTGGCTGAAGCACCCTTTGCTCGCAGCGTTCTCCACGAGTTCCTCACTGGTGGCATGGTCAGGATGAGGAGCAAGTTCACTGAGGATGCAACGGTGTGAAACCAGGACATGCCGGTCCAGCGCCAAAGGTCGTAGATGATCCCGCCATAGGTGGCCGAGCCCGCGTAGCCCACGGTGAAGCTGGCGAGCAACGTGCCCGCCGCCTGCCGCGCGAGGTTCTCTGAGCCGGCGAAGACCTCAAAGCAAATCACCTCAACGGTCACGGTGGTGTCGAAGAAGAGGATGGCAAGCAACTGCCCAAGCACGGCCCAGAGCTTGTCAGGGAAGATGGTGACGAGGATCGCCAAGGCAACATGCGTGGCTGCCATGGGTGCTGCTGTCCAAAGTCCAAGACGCATCTGCAACTGTTGGAAGAAGATTCTTCCAAGAGCCCCCAAACTGAGGCAGATCCCTGCAATCCCGAGGTCCCACCCCATCTCCCGGAAGTAGAGCGAGTAGCCCGAATAGATGAAGCCATTCAATCCACCACCCAGGGCGGGGAGCAGAATGCACACGGAGACGTATCGCCAAGAGCAGGGGAGCCTTTCCCTGCTCTCAGCCGAAGATGGAGCCGCTGTCTCCGCCATGTTTGCTTCAAGCTTCTGGGGGGGATGTTGCTTCTTGAGCACTGCGGCTATACCTTCGCCGGCCAGAAGCATGACGCAACGATACATTGCAAAGTGATGGAACACGACGAGAAAGCATCAAATGCGACAAGCAGGAGTTTGCTAGAACACATCCACGCACGTGCAGGTTCATCTTTTCTTTCCCGACACCTCGTCTGGGAGCCGGACATCCCGAAACATGCCAGGAGAAAGACAAACGTGGCCAGCTCGCGATACCTTCCGATCCTTCCACAGATGTGGGTTCTAGACATGACATACTGTATGCACCGCGAGAACATGGATGCACCGCCACTAATCGTCCGGCCTGGTCAGGAGCCCGGCGTGCTTGACGATGTTGCGCTGAACCTCCACGCGTTGCCTTTCGGGAGGATCACAATCGCAGCAACCCAACACGAGGCCCGAGGCCCGAAGGTCATGAGATGTTCCAAGCCCAAGCGCATACCCTTAAAAGAAGCACAGGTGTGTTATGCAAGATGTCCCCCGCCCCCCCACTCTCATTATTCAGGTTGAGGATTATGGGTCTGGGGCATATGTTGAGTCTTTAGGAAAGAGCAGAATTTCAAGAGGTATAAGACTCTTCTAAGACGTGAGGGTGATACCAGAAAGCCACTCCTTGCAAGCGAATAGAAAACAGAAGCGCGTAATTGTAAATGGCGATAGCAAACATATGCCGGAGTTCAGTGCGCTGGCTGCGGCATAAGCAACAGCACAGAATGTGCAAGGTGCCATGTGAGCAGGAACTGCACCCATTTTCGCAAGGTCTCATCTGCCTCCTTATATAGCACCCCAAATAGTCGGATCCCCTAACTTCGGAAACCCCCACATCTAGCAGCGTATTGAGTCTGTTTGTGCTCTGCAGCTCGAAAATCTGCAGCATTGTCATGCCGTGCCTGACATCGCGATCCGGCCCCGCACCATCGCAGCGCCCTGTCTACCGGCGAGTCTCCCCACTGGCATGGCACAGGAGGGGAGCTTCGTCGCCAGCGCTCTGCAGCCAATTTCAGCTACTTTCAGCGAGCGACAGAGAGAGGGCGAGACAGAGAGGGAGAGAGAGAGAGAGAGACGAATCGAGTACACTGTCGGAGAAACCGTGTGTGTGTGTGTGTGTGTGTGTTGAAGTATGTTGTTCTATTTTTAACTGTTCGTCGTGATTATCGTTACTTGTTAAGTGGCCGGGGGGGGCGGGTGAGGTCGTAAATCAAAGAAGTGAACAGTTGATAGGCAAAGAGAGGGAGAGAAAGAGAGAGAGAGAGAGAGAGATGGAAATAGAGGAGCGAGAGATACAGCGAGAGATATATATATATACAGAGAGAGAGAGAGATGAAAACCTGGCCGTATGCCAAAGGTAAACCGTAAAGGCCGCGGGGCAAGAAAGATTCTCCAAGACGTGAAAACGGTGTTCTTCCAGCTCGCTCTCTACTAATAAGAACTGCTTGCACAGGAAACTGACCCCGATCGACCAGTGCATGCAACACTTCAGGTAGGATGCCTCAAGGCTCAGGGCTCCACACTCCATTTCATGCTCAAGCGAGCGCAAGCTAGCAGGGACTAGGGTTAAGGGTGCCATCCAATTTGGAGCAACCCAGAGCACGAGGAGCAAGAGGCAGGCTATTGAAAGATGCCGGGGCGACCGAACAGGAGAACATTGAGAACACAGAACCAACTCCGAGCACGTGGGTCGCATGATCATCCATTGAATAATTACGCTGGAAGTGGTGTACTACAGTGCGCGCCTGTCACCATGAAGTCCAGCGGTCTTTGTGGCTCGGCGGTGGGGACTCTTGTTTGCGTCGACACATCAAAGGCCCACAAAAACTGCTGGGTAGCCCCCCCCCCCCTTGCTTTTGTAGTGGCTCCCTTTTATCGTGCCTCTCCTTTGATGCAGTGTGGGCAACGCGTAGGCATCATAGCAGCTCAAGCTGATCTTGGACCCTGGTGCTGTCCCCTCCCTCGGCTTCATCCCCCCAAGTGACCAGGGATCCGTCGGCCAAGATGGCAGCGAAGGCAAAGCTGTTGGAGTGGATCTGCCAGACCCCCTGTAGCTGGTCCTGCACTGGGCGGCTGTCACCACCGGTGTGTGCTGCACCCCAGGTGATCACTCGTCCATCGGCCAGGACTGCTGCAAAGGCACCATCTGTAGCCTGCAGCTGCCGCACATCCTTGAGCTGGACGTCAGAGAAGTCCGCCCCACATGTTACTGCGCCCCAGGATACAACTGATCCATCGGCCCGGAGGGCCGCGAAGGCGCGAAAAGCAGCTGTAACCTGCTGCACATTCCGCAACCGATCTTGGAGGCCGCCGCTGTCCCCTCCACCTGCTGCGTCGCCCCAGGTGACAACGGAGCCATTAGCCAAAATGGCTGCAAAAGCCCCGAAATTCCCCACGATCTGCTTCACGTGGACCAACTCTGCTTGGACCTCCCTGCAATCGCCGCCCCTTGCTGGATCGCCCCATGTCACGACACTCCCATCAGCCAAGATGGCCGCGAACGCGTGCTTGGTCGCCTGGATGTCCTTCACGTTGACCAACTTTGCTTGCACCCCGCTACAGTCCCCTCCCCAATCTCGGTCTCCCCAAGTCACAACTGAGCCATCAGCCAAAGTGGCAGCAAAAGCCCTAGCAGTCGAAGCCCGGATTGCGACATTCTTCAGCCGATCTTGAACACGACTGCAGTCGCCCCCAAAACACTGGTGACCCCATGTTACCACCCTGCCATCTGCTAAGCTGGCTGCAAACGCAAAGGCTGTCGAGTGGAGTTGTTGCACATTCTTTAACTGCCCCCGGACTGCGGGTGATATAGAAGCTCCATATTCACCCTCACCCCAGGCAACCACGGATCCATTCGAAACAATCGCAGCAAAGGCAAGCTCTGTGGCCTGAATCTGTTGAACATGCCTCAAGTGATGCTGAACACGACTACAGTCACCTCCATGCTCTTGGCGGCCCCAGGTGAGCGCGCTGCCACCCACGACATAAATTGCAAAAGCGTGGCGTGCAGCAGCCACCTGCGGTTCTCGAGCGATGGCATTCAAGACCTCCCCGTCACGAATCCCCAGCTCTTGAAGAGGCTGCCGGGGATCTAAGAGCTTTCCATGCAGGGTCAGCTCCAGAAACGGACGTCGGAAGGCCTTCTGCACCAGGACCTTCAGCTCGTGCACGCTGGACGCCGGCGATGCTGACACCTGCACTGAGCGGCCGCTGGGCAAAGACACTGCGATGGTCCTTTCAGCGGACTTCAGGTCGCGCGAGCGCGAGCGATCAGCTCCGGACGCCTTGCGCAAAGTAGATCCCATGGCGTATGGCTGGGTGAAATCAGAACCGAAGCTCAACAAACACCCGCCCGACACTACAAGTACCGATATGATATGACTGCGGCCATGCCGAACTATAGGCATTCAGCCAGATTGAGCATCTAAAGTGCCATGCCCATGGTGGAAGAGAGCAATGGCAGAGGAGACCCATGGCATTCTGTTGCTGTGGCTATCTCTCGCTTCCGCATTCTTTTGATGGACGGCGGGGGGTGCACAAGAGCTCCTGGACTATGTCCCCAGGAAAAATGCCTGCTTAAACCCTAAACCCTAAACCCTAAACCCTAAACCCTAAACCCTAAACCCTAAACCCTAACTTGGGGCACTCTTCCGCAAGGCGGAGTTGAAAGTTGAGAGGAATGCCGATAGAACGAACAGGATTGTGGGATGTTCTGAAATTTTGTAAAGCTTCCAGCTTAAGGGTTTAGGGTTTCGGGTTAAACCAAACAGCATCTTAGAGAAGATCGAACAAGATGGGTCACAGAAAAACTTGGCATCCTTGTGGGTGCCAATCTTGTGAAAGCGCTCACACCCCTGATGGAACACACTTGTTGACTCGAGCTTCTTAGAATGCAGAACCCAAGAAATGAATCAAAACCTTCACCCGTGTCACCGCCCCCTCCCTCCCCCCCCCCCCCCCCCCAAAGAGACAACACGAACTTGCAAACATCCATGAACCTTGAGAGCCCTAACCCTAAACCCTAAACCCTAAGCCCTATAAGCCCCTTTCCAATTTTTTCGGATCGGCGTGGCAATCCCATGAAGCTCCGCCGCTTCTCCGGCGGTGGAGGTGGAGGCACCTGGGTTTCGGTCGTCTGGGGCTTAGAGTAGGAGCCTAAAAGTTGGAAACTCAATAGCCTCAATCCATAAGAGGAAAGTGTAGGAATCCCAGCACTGTTTGTCCTTAAACTGGTTTCAACTTTTTTGGGGTTTACTGTATAAGGGTTACAATGGTTTCTAAGGGGTTCGATGGGTTCTGAGGGTTGGGTTTCAGGTCGGCCAAAACCTGATACAAGAAGGTCCACAAGGCGAGGGCACCGGAGCCTCACGAGCACCATGAAGAGATGGAAGCCAAAGCAAACATGTCTTGAGAGTCTGCTTCATCGTCTGATTGGGCATGGTTCAACTTTCATGAAACAGGACTGCGAAAGGTATCCTATTCGTAAAAGATATGCGTCATTCTTCACATAGACGGCTTCAATCGACACACCGGAATTCCTGCCGCATCATGCTCAGGTGTGGGTGCACTCTGTCTACATGGTACAAACAGACTTCTAATCTCATCTCATGGCATGTGTTTCGCTAGCCCTGCCCCTTGTCGTGGATAGCAGAAAATAGCAGAAAGCCAGCATTGTTCCAGGATTCCGTTCAAGAAACCCATCTGTTTCTTTCATCCACGATTCTGTTTAAAGCGATCTTGTGCCAAAACTACACCATGAAAACGATCGAGGTCGTTGCGGACCTGGCGGGCGCCATGGCCGCCGGGTTGCTCCCTAGCGGGGGCGGTGGGGGCGGCACTGGCCGCCTCGCTGTTGATCTTGTGGCGGGTTCTTATGCCCGTCGCAATGAGAGACCGGCGGGTTTAGACGCGGCAGTAAGACTGGATAATGTAAGAGGTCTAGTAGGAAAGAGGTCTAGTAGGAAATCCACTCACAATCTTTTAATCAACCCACAACCACATCGGAGTTCTCCAATTCGTTTTCAAGGTTTTGCCACGGTGGCCCTCGCGCTCAAGCAATGTTCGCATCTACTTTTCTCTTGTTTTCATTGCACCCGCGCCCTGCAAGAAACGCCTTTGCAATGCACAGAATCTGCGCGGCGATCATTAGCACCGTAGCAACCACAAACCAGCAAACTGGCCGTTGCCTTGGGCAAAAACATGCCCAACCTGCCCGGATCTCAAGCAGTCACATTAAGCAACCGAATTTCAAATGCATCACGGAACAGGCGCAAACCGCTGCAAGTCCAGCCAAACAGCCGCTGAAGGGACTCGACCCTGTTGAGCCCTGGAAGTTTGTGGGCTTCAGGTGATGAATTCCATGCCACCCAGCCCATTCTACTTGCTGTGCTGCAGCTGCAACCCCACCCGAAGCTTGGGATGCTTTCATGAGCTTCCGGGCTTCTTCAGTGTAGGAGGGGCTTCTCATGACCTTGCTTACTGCTGAGTAGACCGTCTCCTCTGTCATCCAGCCTTCTTTGTAAGGGTTGTGCTCCCTGCCGATGCCCTTCGGAATTCTCCCAATGAGCTCAGCAACACCACGGTCTTTCAGTAGACAGGCATTCACGGGCTGCTCTGCAAAGAAGGGAATGGCCACGATGGGTTTACCGGCCGTCAAAGTTTCCAAGGTGCCACCCCAACCACAATGAGTGATGACTACTTTGATGGCAGGGTCTTGCAGCAGCTCGGCTTGGGGAGTCCACTTGCGAATGAAGAAGTCAGGGTCATCCTTGACTGGCAGGAATTGGTGCAGCTCTTCCTTGAGGCTCCATACAACTCGACACTGGGTTTTCTTGAGGCCACTGAACAGGACTCGCACTTGCCAGTCGTGGAGTTTGGCCATGCTGCCTGTTGTGACGTACACCACACCGACACTGCTGCCACTGCCGTCACTGGCACGGAGGAACTGGTGAAGTTCCACATGCTCTCTGGCTAACTTCTCTCGCAGATTTGCAGCTGGTGGTAAAACTGGGCCGGTCACAACAACGTTGGGATAGATGGGCAGTGTCTGGTCAAGGCCCCAGATGGTTTGCACCAGCACAATTGCCCCTCTGCCTACATGATGATGCAGTTGTGCTCCCCAGGTGCCGAAAGAAAAGACGTTTGTCCATCTCGCAAAGGCAGGCATGCTCAGTCGCTGGCGCTCCAAGTGTAGCCCCAGGAAGTTGAAGCCAGTTGAAGCATCGGCCATTCCGATGAAGGCTTGCAGTACACTTAGAGGCCCTGGCAGATTGATCAACAAAGGGAGGTCCATCTCCTCTGCAAGAACTGGTCCTGCAGCCGAGGCGAAGTCCGCCAGCACCACATCTGGCTTGCTCTTGGCACATTCCTGTCTCAAAGCTGGTAACATGACAGCCGAAAGTTCCAGGTTTTCAAACACGCCCTTCTTATCTGCCTCCTGCGTGATGCTCTCCTCCGTCTTCCCCTGCATGTCCAAAGCCACAAACTCCGCGCCCGTCTGCTTCACCTTCTTCTCAAACTCATCCTTACCATACTCCGCTGTGTAAACTCTGACTTTGTGCCCGCGCTTGCAGAGCTCAGCGCAGATGCGCAGCAGGCAAAGCATGTGACCAGACTTCTGGATGCAAACGACTGCGATGGAAAGTTGTGGTCCCTCCATGGCAAAGGTTCGGGCGGCAGTTTGAAAGGGTGGTTGCTGGCTTCCGCGCATCAGTGGGGGCTCACCATCAACACCCCACTGACTAAGTCACTTTAAGTCACGAAGTCACAACCCCTTACCATCCCTGGCGGCGGACAAAGGAAACATTGTTATTTGCTTATACATTTCCTAAAATTGTCGTACACTACTAGATGAACAGATGACAAATTGGTTTCAAAAACGGAAGTCATATTATTAGAATAATCTAAAGCCAGAACGCATTCATTGGATTTGTAGCATTTTGTACCCTCTTGCACCCACCTTAAATGCCCTAAACCCTAAACCCTAAACCCCCTTTTTTTCATCCAAGCCTCGCAACGACTGCCGGCCCTAAACCCTAAACCCCCTAAATCCTAAATCCTGTCCAGGTCGCTGAAAAACCTGCGCCGCGTTGAGGATGCGCGCCACGTCGAAACGATCCTGCAGGTCATCTGTGTGCGAAATTGGTGTGGAAATCACCCCATGGGTCGGTTCCTACTATAAAGTTAAATCTGCCGTACTCATCGAGAAGTGTGAATTATGAAGTTGTCAAGTTTTTGTTGGCAGCATTCCAGCGCACTCTCTACAGAAAGAAGTGCCATCAGAGCACCATGTCTGGTGTGGGGGGTCACACCGGAAGATATCTGTATGGGGGGGGGGGGGGGGGAAGGGAATGAATCCAGCCATACCAGGACATACCACTCCCGAAGATCATCTCTGGCTGGGGGAGGGGGGGTTGACAAGAACGTGGTCAACTGAATCCCATCACACCGGGCCATCAGAGCATCAGCGCCGGTTTGGGGGGAGGAGGGGGGAGGGGGTGGGTCAACTGAATCCATAAGTACAACCAAGATCATGTCTGAAAAGCACGGTTTAGGGCCCACGCAGCGAGAGGCACTGTGTTAGGGCCCCGCGCAGGATTTTGGCTCTCACAACGCAGGCAGAAACAGCACAAGCCATAAGCTCCAGAAAAAAATCGCCCGTGTAGATCCCCTCTGAAGCTGCGACTCCAACTGGCTTGTGGTGCGTGCTCCTGCAATTGCACACTCTCCTTCTGCACTAGCCAGCAACACCATGATTTGAAATGCTGCAACTACGTTTGCCTGTGATAGTGAAGATACAAAAACAAGGCAACGTCAGTATCATCTACGTCGGTATCGGCTCCCCAGTCAACAAGCAACCTGGCCAAATCGTAGTGATGAGACCAGACTGCCACCACCAGCGGCGATTGTCCAGCCGCATTCTCTTTGTTGAGATCACACCCCAACTCCACGAGAAACTTGGCCAACCCGATATCATCTCTCGAGGCTGCCAGGGTCAACGGCGTTTCTCCATCGAAATCCTCTGGATTGATACTCTCTGACCACTCCACCAGCAGCTTGGCAAGCTCGAGGTGACCTTTCGACACCGCCAGAGACAATGCCGTGTGGCCATCTACCCATTCCTCGGCTTCAAGGTCTGCTCCCCACTCCACAAGAAACTTGGCCAAGTCAGCATTTCCTGCAGACACCGCCTGTATCAATGCCGTTTGTCCATCGTTAGTCGTTGTGTCCACGTCAGCGCCCCACTCTAAAAGCAGCTCGGCGAAAGTGGCCCTCCCTTCAGAAACGGCCCGCACCAGCGGGGTTTGCCCATTGCCCCTTTCGTCGAGATCAGCTCCCCACTCGACAAGCCACTCGGCCAACTCAACATTTCCTTGAGACACGGCCTGCACAAGGAGAGTTTCTCCCTCAGAGTCATGCGCATTGACGTCGGCTCCCCACTCCACGAGCGCCTTTGCTGTTTGGACTCTTCCCCTTTTCAGCGCGACCACCGCCGCATCACCGGCGCCGTCCCGCAGAGCTGCCTCGCCAGATCCATATCGTCATGTGCCAGGGCAAGGTCCAGGAGAGACCCTGCAGCCTCCACGCTACCCGGTGGATATCGGTTCAGGCAAGCGCCCAAGCTCGCCAAGGCAGCCCTGGAAGATCTGGAGACGTTGCGAGACTGAGGAGCCCTTCCAGCATAAGGTGGGCCGCTCTTGGCTCTTGAAGCTGCTGACGATGTGTCACCTTCTCCAACTCGGTGCATGACATGTAGAATGAGTGAAAGGGTGATGGCTAGAAGTCATGATCGCCACTTTCTTCGGCAATAGCTTTGCAGCCTCATTGAACAGGCTTTCCCACTCGGGCCGGATTACACCATTGCAGTGCTCCACCAGCTGTAGGAATCTCTGCTGCACGGTGCACCATTCGGCCATCGCTGCCAGCTTGCCGCCCTGCTTCAGCACCAGCAACAAGCACTCGCCCTTTTCGGCCTTGTTGTGATACCCTTCCCCACCAGCACAGTTCCTGAGTTTTGCGGCTGCCTCGTCTAGGCCCTCAGGAGATGTGATCAGCTCCACCCTTAGGTCTGCCTCCTCGCGCACGCAGCACTCGACCAGCCTCAAGCACCTGAAGGGAGACCCGCTCCGTCGACGTCGGCTTCGTGCAGCCCGCGCCAGTCTCGCCAGGAGAATGGGAGGAGCAGCTTGCCTTCGGAACTCACCAACGTCCATGCCTTGGAAATGTTCTTGAACCTCGTCAAGTCGGTTGGCATTCTCCGGCCGCCGCCAGAACACGGAATGCTGCACGAGGTACTGCGCCAAGGCTGTGTGGGGCTGCCTCAGGATGGCCAGAAGCCGCGACCGCTGCAGGGGAAGGCTCGCGCAAGGACTGAAAAGACGCAGCAGATACCCGTGGGCCCTCAGCTCTTCCACGCTTGGAGCCGCCTTGGAGGGTGTCTCATTGTGTTGCTGCCAGCTCACACATGCAGCTTTGACGTCGAAGGCACCCCACGTTCCGGCTCGCTCCAGCCAGCTCGGAACATTCAGATCTCCATGCGCCCGGACACCAGACCAATCAGGAGGCACAGGAACATCTGCGAGCATTGGACGCACAGAGTCAGAGGGACCAAAGAGATGTGGAACCTGCTGGCGCTGTAGGGCTCGCTTCCTCAACTTGCGGCTGCGAACCACTTGCTGGCACTCTTCTGGGGGGAAGCAGAGGTCCTCGAGCAGGGACACAGCATTGCAGTAGGCTTCCGCATCAAAACCAATGCCGGGCAGCCCCGGAAGATCTGCGGCTGGCTGCGAAGGTATGGCTGCTGCCACCGTACCATCCGGAAGATGCAGCCCCGCATCGTTGATCTCGATGACCAACGGACCCTCCGTGAGCTTTACTCGACCATCCTCCTGCCAAGGGAGCTTGACCGAAACTCTTCGGTCCAAAGCGTCAGTGCCTTAGAACCTGCCTCCCACAACACACTACATCTGTGCTGGCACTGCGACACATGACAGGCAAACACTGGGACCCTCCTGTGCAACGACTCTCAGCCTAGCCGGGACAGGCCCGTACTCGCTGTGGACCATCCTTGCCGAGCCCGAGTCCATGTAGAGCTGCACCATCCCGCGCCTGGGATCGGAAGGGTCATGGTAGGAGCCATAGAGGCTCCATGAGGCGACCTCCTCGAGCCCCCAGTCTGCCTGGCGCACCTGTGCGCCAGTAGCATAGCCACGGGATGCGGAGCTGCGGCCCACGAGGCGGCCCACGAGGCGCCGAATGCACCGACCTCCCGACCAGCCCAGCATCGGGGTTGGGGGGCACGCTACCCACCAGCCATTCCCGAAGAGGGACTCGAGCCGTCGACAAGGCTTAGAATCGGGTTCGAACCGCACAGAAGCTTGAGCGCAGGCATGCTCCGTGGAAAGGCAGTACCAGCTTGTGGGAACCCCACATCCCTGCCTTGACTTTGCACACAGAATTTGGTAGTTGAAGTTGCCCATACTTTGCTGGGCTGATGCTTGGGTATCCGATGCGAGTCATGTCTACTGAGTCTACTGCCTGAAAAGAGCACAAGCTGGGAGCAAAACGTGATGGCGTCCTCCGCGGCACAGCCCCTGCCACAGTGGGATCGTGAACGTCCAATCCACCCTAGTTCGGGGGCGTGGGTGGAAAAAGCGAATCAAACCCACTACCACTTCGGGCACGTAGGGCGCGCCCTAAACCCCTTCAAACCCCAAACTCCCAATCCAAAGCATCGCTCTGAGAACCCTTTTGCAATAGGCTTCAAAAACCCTAAACTTTAAACCCTAAACCGCACCTAGAAATGATGTTTTTGTTCCTTGTTGGGTTTTAAGTTCTCAGACAAATATAAAAAGTGGTTTTTTCAACAATGACCCAGTAAACCCAGGAGCTCGCCGACGCCTTCGCCAGGCCTCAGACCGAAGCGCCTGCGGCGCCTGCAGGCTTCTTGCTTGCTGTTGGTTAATATATCCCCCAAGACATGCCCTGTTTTAGGATGATATAGGGTACCTCATTCCCTCATTCCCTAACAACCAACAGTACGCTTTGGGGGAGTTCTCTGGGGAGGACTTCTAGCTTTGGGGCCTTTTTCTCTTCGGGTTTGGGGTTCAGCGTCCGTTGGAAAACATGCGATTGCGATGTTCTCTCCTCTCTCTCCCGAAGACTGTAGCTTCTAGCAACAACCAATCAGGCGTCCCGCCAGTTCCTGCGGCCTGTGATGCATGTGGGGATTCTGAGGGTGGCGCGTGGAGACACAAAGTGTAAGCACTGCACAGAGATGCGAGGGGACTTACTCGGAGGGGGTTTGGGGTACATGCACACCGAAGGACCAAGGATGGCGTTCGGGCTTCGAGTCGGGGCTTTACCGCAGGCTTAGCATGCTGGGCTTCGGGTCCAGGGCCTGTAGATCAATGCAGGTACCTAAGGCACGGTCTTTTCTTCGCCATGCGAGCCCAGCTTGTGGCAAAGCTCACTATACTCCCCCCAAGAGTCCCCAGAGCCATGCTGAAAAGAAATGTTGGTTCTTCCTTTGAGTTTGAAACTAACAAAACTAGGACAGAACACCTGGGAAGATTATAGCTCGCTGCACAAGTTTTCGACCGTGCACAAGCTTCAACCACTGACCAGGCATTCAAGGTCAAGGGCCTGGGACATGTGGGTACAGAAATCGTTCAAAGCTCCCCCCAACTTCAAGCTCCCGAGCTCAGGGTTTAGGGTTTAGGGTTTAGGGCAACGCCCATTTTGGGCATCGCAAGAGCTGTGGCCTTCGCTGCAGCTGGGCTTGAAAATGTGGCGTGCGGCTTGCACGGCAGCCGCAAAAACGGTACGTGGCGTCCAAATTTTGGAGCCGCTTGAAACGGAACCCCTGCGCGCAGTGGGCTTTAGAGTGCTCGCAGACCCTGAGCTTGAACCCTCCTACGTAATCTGAACTCAAAACTCCCCTGTCTCGGCTCCCAAGACCCCCCTTAGACTCTTAGACTCCCCCTCCGAAACCCAGCGGGGGTGATCAACAACTTTCCTATTCTGAGCGAGGATGGATCAAGAAAACAAAAGCACTCACGCATCAAAGCAACTTTTGGAATCAAGTTCGTGGGAATAGGAAGGGCTCTCTGTACCCACCCAGGACCTGGGACCAGCACCTCCCTTCCCCTTCAATGCCCGTATAACGAGAATGGAAGGAATCCGTTGAGTATGTGCAGCAATTCCTCTCGACAGCATGATGCTCTTAAGAGCGAGCTTGCCCGGCTTAAACAGGCGGGGAAGGGGGGGGGGAAGACGACACAGCCTCCCCCATTTGCAATCGCAATGCTCGTATGACGGGCTTGGAAGGATGCATAGGATACAGTATTCGGGTTCCTTACTTCCTGGCTTGCCCCTGTGCTTCCTGTGCCTGTTCCTGTTCCTGTTCCTGGCTTTCTCTCTCCTCCCTGCACATTTCATCCCCTTTTGATACCTAAAACATACTTGTTTGCTGATCCTGATTCTCCCTCCACTCAAAAGCCCACTACGCCGGCGCTGGGGGCACCGCCTGAGGTGATGGCCCGGACCCTGCCGTGGGCCGGTAGCGCCAGAGCTGAGGGAAGGCCAACGGCTCCTGGCTTTCCACACACCCACGATCACAGAGCCACCCCAAAAAGGCGGAGCCCTACAACCCTGAAGCCCTGAAACCCCTGCAACCACCCAAGATTCTTCAAACCCTCCCAGAGGTCTGAAACGGTTTAACGCCCGAGCCCGAGCCCAAGCCCCCGCACCATCCCAAACACCACAACCCACTACACTATTGTTGCAACTAAGCCCCACCCGTCCAACATCACCCAAAGACCCTCTGAAGGACCGATGAGCACAAAGCCGCGGCGCTGGGGCGCAGAGCTGGAGGAAGGTCATGCCCAGGCTGTTCAGGATGGTGGGGACCGCCCAGATCCTGCTGTCTCGGCTTTCGGGCTTCTTGGAGCCCAGACTGCGATTTGGGTTGGGCTTTTTTTTGCCACCCGCTTAGCTGACCTCTCGTGGGGGTTAGGGTGTAGGGTTTAGGGTTTAGGTTTTGTTTTTTGCTCCCGCATAGCTGGCCGAATCGCAGGCAGGGTGATTTGGTGGTCTATTCGGAGAAAAAGGGTGGCCCCGCTTCAGGACCCTCAAAAACACTCTCTTCCCCACTACTTCAGGGTTTAGGGTTTAGGGTTTAGGCGTGTTAGCTTTAGGTCTTCAGGCCCCGCGAGCTACTCCCAACACTAACAGAGCACAGGGCACCCGAGACGATATTGCGAGCCGATGGCTTTGAAGCATCTAGGGTTTAGGGTTTAGGGTTTAGGGTTCCAGGGCGTGCGATGGAGCTCGTCTAGCTAGGGTTTCACGTCTTTGGCCCAGATTGCAGAATTATCCCACATCGCGCTGAAGGGAATACAAAAAACACGAGCCGGCGGAGTAGCAAAGCTTGGTGAGGATCCGTATCGTTCTTGAGCTTCCCTGTAATTTCTTACCATCCTTCCCTGTCAGCAGCCAAGGTGCAGGAAGTGAATGCTGGGCGCCCCGGGGCATTTCGCGTAGCACTCAGGGTGGCCTGCATAGCCTTGCAGAGTAGGGGTGGTGAGGTTTAGGGTTTAGGGTTTAGGGTTTAGGGTTTAGGGTTTAGGGTTTAGGGTTTAGGGTTTGGGGTTTGGGGTTTAGGGTTTAGGGTTTAGGGTTTAGGGGTAGCGGGGTTCAGGGTGTAGGGTTAGTTGAGTTCAGGGGAACGCGGGCAGTCTCCCCCTGGGCGGGGAGCTAGGAGGTCCTTGAGGGTGCAAACAGCACCATCAACTGCACAAAAGCGCCCTAAAAAACATGAGATCTTATAGAGCCTTAGCCTTATGGAGCCTTATAGAGCCTTATAGAGCCTTGTAGAGCCTTATAGAGCCTTGGAGCCCTGGATGAAGGCTGCAGGCGTGTGCGAAAACTCCCTCGGCGGAAACGCGGCGGCGCGGCGCGTGGCGGACGGGGCTTCGCACCACTGCGGATCCAACTTGCAGGTTCCCCTTTCTTGCATCCCTTAAACCCTAAACCCTAAACCCTAAACCCTAAACCCTAAACCCTAAACCCTAAACCCTAAACCTAAACCCCTTGAACCTTTTGAACCCCAAACCCTTTGAACCCTCAACCCTCTTTGAAGCCCCATGAGCTCAAGGGCCCAAACAAGCTTTCGTCGACTTCCGGGGCCCGAGGGGCCACAGCTGGGCTCGAGCAGGGCGACCACCAGGGCCCCGCCCATGGTCAGGAAGGAGAAGAGAGACCTGGGGTTTAGGGTTTAGGGTTTAGGGTTTAGGGTTTAGGGTTTAGGGTTTAGGGTTTAGGGTTTAGGGTTTAGGGTTTAGGGTTTAGGGTTCTTCGGTCAAGAAGGAGAAGAGAGACCTTGGGATGCGCTGCGAAGGCGGCTTAGGGTTTGAAGTGTTTGGTTTGTACGGTTTAGAGGGTTTATAGGGTTTAGAGGGTTTAGAGGGTTTAGAGGGTTTAGAGGGCTTAGAGGGCTTAGAGGGCTTAGAGGGTTTAGAGGGTTTAGAGGGTTTAGAGGGTTTAGAGGGTTTATAGGGTTTATAGGGTTTATAGGGTTTATAGGGTTTGTAGGGTTTATAGGATTTGTAGGGTTTATAGGGTTTATAGGGTTTAGAGGGTTTAGGGCACTCTACCGATGTATCCTGAGCCTCAAAGACCGGCTACAACCATGGACCCTCCGTCTTCTTTCCGCTGTCAGATTTGGCTTTGGAGATCTGTGGGCTTCAGGCAGGTGTTTTATGCAGACGTCATGCTTCAGACAAGACCCCCTACCTCACCCACTTTCTAAATGGTGGTCCATGCACAGCAGAATACTCCAACTTCGAAAACTCCTCTAAAACTCCAGAACTAAATTGGCAATCTCCAGGGGGGACTCTGACCACGGTCTGGGAACAAATAACGCTCCGAGAACGCTAGGCCCCACTCAAAAGGTGGAACCCGGCATACGCAGCATACAACTATTTGCACAGTAAACAAAAAAAAAAAGCAGCTGAGACCCGAAGTGGGGGGTGGGCCGGGGGAGCGCCGCACCGACGTCGGGTTGCGCAGGTCTTCTGGCACATGCGGACAAGTTTAGCCCAGTGGCCGGAACAGATTCTCGCCCGACACCGGCCCAACACACCAGTTTACAGTGGCCCACGCGACACAGCAAAGCAGCGCTGAGGCTGCGAGGAAGTACATGGTGACCTGCGTGCTGTGCACGGATACACCCTAAGCCCGACGCCTTTTTTCCACCCTTCTTGCATCTGGACTGCAGGAGCCAATCATGGTGGAAACCATAAACCCTAAAAAAGCCCAACCCCTAAACACTAAACTTAAAACCCAAGCCCCCCGTTCATGGACGCCCTTTCCCTCACCTTTAGACCCCAGCTGTCACCCATTGCGGGCTTAAGTGGGTCGGGACGCAACATGCCCCCAACCCTAAACCTTAAACCCTGCATCAGCGAGTGGGGTTTATCAGGTTTACTTCTAATATAGGGCCCTAAACCATAAACCCTAAACCCTAAACCTTAAACCCTAACCCTAAACCCTAAGCCGCTAGCATAGGGCTTAGGTGACCCCTCAGCGGCCTGGAAGTGGGACCCCCAGACGAGCAGGGCTGCCAGCAGCCCACCGGCCAGCAAACCGATGCACAGGCCGAAGAAGCCTGCGTCCCAACAGGGTGGGTTTTTTGCATTATTGGGGTTTAGGGTTTAGGGTTTAGGGTTTAGGGTTTAGGGTTTAGGGTTTAGGGTTTAGGGTTTAGGGATTGGGGCTTCGACTAGGCTTCGGTTGGTTCTTGGTCCGGTTGCTCCGAGCTGTGGGAGGTGGGCGAACGACCTCGGCTTGCGCCAGTCGAGGGGCTTAAGCGCCCCATAGCGCTACCCCCCCCCCCCCCATTGTAGGGACGGCCCAGGCCTTGAGTTTAGGGTTTGGGGTCCAAGGCACACATATTTTAGAACTATTAGGAGCCATTTCAGCGCCAGTCGTGGGCTACTCCGGCCTGCTCCGGAGTGACCCAAAAGAATTGAGATGGAAGCCCGCATTACTGACCAACCAGGCGAACTCCCATCATGGCATCAACTTGCAAGTTGCACCCTGGGTTTTGAGGGCTCAGGCTTCTGCAGGATGTCATCGCCACACATTTCCACACACACGCACAACCATGGTACAAAAGCACATGGGAACCACACAGCAACCGGCGCGTCAGCCCCTGAGACAGGTCAGCTCTTGCAGTCCCCCCTGGCGCCTCGCTTCAGGAACTTCTTCTGGCAGGCCTTCTCCAGAGCGCAGCAGCTGTCCAAGAGCAGGGCGCCACTGGACAAGACCATGAGGACCTGGCACTCGGCCGAGAAAACACACCCCTTATCCGGGGTTCGGGGTTGCAGGTATCAGGGACTTCGGGGTCTCAGCTCAGGGGGCTTCTGGTCCCCGAAGGTCTTGGGAGGGTCCAAATTCTGAAGCTTCAGGTTTGAGGGTCTATATTCGCGGCTTCAGGGCTTAAGTTAAGCTTATAAGGGCTTGACAGGTTGAGGGTGTACGGGTTTGCGGCTTGAGGTGGGGGTTGAATAATCTGGGACTAACAGGCCTTGGCCACCACGGTGCCCCAGTTGTCACCGGCGGTCGCCTGAGAGCTTCGAAAGGCACGTGGAGTTGGCTCTTCCCTCGTTTGGAAATTAGGGCTTATAGGTTTGAGCCGCCGGCAGGCCCTATAGGCACATAAAGCTCCACTTAAGCCCCACTGGCGCACTCTGTGGACAGTGACCAACAGCAATCGACAACATAGTCCACCTCCCTGCACACGCCGTGCCCTAAACCGCTGAACCCAAGTAACTTCAACCTGAACCACACGTTGGCTCCTGCCCCACAGCACCAGCACAGGCGTAGCCAGTGGCACCCAAAAAGAAGAAGAGCAGATAGAAGTCGTCCGAAGCCACCTCTTGGGGTTTGGGCTTCAGGGCAAGCTAACTCTTCATACCCTCAGATAACATCACCCCCCACGCCTCTCAATTTCGGACCCGCTATGGAAGAAACCGTCGGAAATCCCAAGTACTTTCGAGCCGCGTCCCGTCGACACCGCTGACGGAGGATGCACAGACCACAGAGAAGCGACACAGCCGCCCCGGCGTAGAAGCCTCATGGGGCTTCAGGCGCCGGTTGAGTGGGGAGGCAGTGCGTATCGTTGCGTATCACAGGTGTCTATGAAAATCGACTACCGAAGGGAAGAAAGCGAGAGAAAAACATTCATGCCGGCCACGACCCCAAAAAGCATGGACTTAAAGACATGGGAGCGAAGCCATAGCACAAGCTTCTATTTTGGCGGCACGTGCCAATGGATCGAACTTGCGAAGCAAAACATATCACTGAACATATCACTCGGTGTCAGTCCCTACCGCAGGGGGCGTCTGAGCTTACTCTCGCATTACCACCACTGGAATGCCTGAAGAAGAATTTGGACCCGAAAACCCTTGCCACTTGAAACTGGGGTGTAGGGCACGAGCCTTGGCAAGGAAAGGCTGTAGACTGAAACCCCAGTAACCGGGAGGCAGCTGAACGTCGTCTGGTGAGCACCAGGTGTGTGCTCAGGGTCCGGAATGACGATCAGGGAGTGCCCGATCTCCAGCCGGCACTCCATGGCGATGGGCCCGCACCTTAAACCCTAACCGCGCCCTAAACCCTAAACCCTAAACCCTACACCCTAAACCCGACATGGGGGCTGAACAGCAAACCGCTCGGGAGCTTGAAGCTCAAGAGCTTCGGGCGGCAACGAGGCTTGATAGCAACCCTCGTGTGGTGCTTGTGACATTTGACCAATCTTGTCGGCATGGCTTTGCATGGCTTCATTGACTGTTATCCCGTTTGTTCTACGGGCAAGATGCGCTTTTCTGCCCGTTTTTAGAAATGATAGCAACTTTCAGATACAACTTCACGCGGCCTTGCCATTGACTTTGCAGAATCTTTGCGTCCATGGGTTTGTTTGAGCCAGGGAGGGGGGGGGGGACCCAGATCGGAAGAGTGGGGAAGGGGGCAAGCTACCGATGTGAGAATGTTATTAACGGTCAAGGTGGGTCGGGAGTCAATTGGACCGTCTAGCTTTCCATGCTTCTAGCACAGAGAGCCTAGGAGGTCTCCTGCACACACACACACACAGACAGACAGACAGACAGACAGACAGACAGACAGACAGACAGACAGACAGACAGACTGGGGGGGGGGGGGGGTTAGGGGGGGTTTAGTGGCCTTTTTGGACAACATTCGATCGTTTGTTCTCTGCTCGCTCTCCTAGATGATTTGTTGCGAGCCCAGCGAGCCAGGATGCTGTGCTGCACTTTTTGTGGTCTTCCTCGTCAGCTGTGGGCTGTTCGCACCTTCACCTCTTTCATCTTCTTTGCAAATTAAAAACAAAGAGCGAAAGCAAAGCAAAAGAAAAACAAACACAATGGTGCGGTTTCCGAGAGTTACATGAAAACGTGTTCATCCTCAGGACTCTGAAGCGCCAAGCTTGGCTCATTCCTGGGGCGCTTGACTCACTGATCTGAGGCGCTGCTCAGCCAGGAAAACTCTTTGCTTCCCAAGGACCAGCCCTGCCAGGCCGGCTGCACTGCTCCGTGCGGATGTGAGCTTCTCCGTCGCCTTGTCACCTATCTGGGCCTTTTCAACTCCGGAGGGGGCTGCACTATAACGGTGCGCTTGTCAGGCTTCGAGGTGGGACCTGTGGCCATGGCCGAAGAAAAAGGAAATATTGGGAGGAGATGGGTTGCTCGCGGCGCGATCACCCTTGGAGTTCCCTGAGCGGCGCCGAAGACTCGAGTGGCCTCTAGCAGCAACCCAATCAGGCGTCCTGCCAGTCCCTGCGATGCATGTGGGGATTCTGAGGGTGGCGCGTGGAGACACAAGAAGTGTAAGTACCACCGCACAGAGATGCGAGGGGACTTAGGGGGTTTGGGGATACATGCACACCGAAGGGCCAAGGATGGCGTTCGGGTTTCGAGTCGGGGCTTTACCGCGGCTTTCGCTTGGCATGCTGGGCTTCGGGTCCAGGGCCTGTAGATCAATGTGTCAATGCAGGTACCTAAGGCACGGTCTTTTTCTTCGCCATGCGAGCCCGGCTTGTGGCAAAGCTCACTATACTCCCCCCAAGAGTCCCAAGAGCCATGCTGAAAAGAAATGTTGGTTCTTCCTTTGAGTTTGAAACTAACAAAACTGGGACAGAACACCTGGGAAGACTATAGCTCGCTGCACAAGTTTTCGACCGTGCGCAAGCTTCAACCACTGACCAGGCATTCAAGGTCAAGGGCTTGCAAACTTGGCCCGGGGCTTGCGCAGCAGCAGCCGCAAAAACGGCAGGTGGCGTCCAAATTTTTGGAGCCACCTGAAACCGAACCCCTGCGTGCAATGGGCTTTCGAGTGCTCGCAGACCCTGAACTTGAACCCTCCTACGCCCTTAAATCTGAACTCAAAACTCCCCTTCCTCGGCTCCCAAAAACCCCCCTTAGACTCTTGGACTCCCCCTCCGAAACCCATTGGGGGTGATCAACAGACTTTCCTATTCTGAGCGAGGACGGATCAAGAAAACAAAAGCAAAAAGCACTCACGCATCAAAGCAACTTTTGGAATGAAGTTCGCGGAAACAGAAAAGGGCTCTCTGCACCCAGGACCTGGGACCAGTGCCTCCCTTCCCCTTAAACATGCCCGTATCACGAGAATGGAATCCGTTGAGTATGAGAAGCAATTGAGCTTGCCCGGCTTAAACAGGGCGGGAAAGGGGGGGGGAGGCACGGGGGCAGACGAGACAGTTCCTTCCGTCCGGCCTAGCTGGCTTTCTATCTCCTCCCTGGATGACTTGATAGCCTTTTTGATACCGAAAACTTATTTGCTGGGCTCCAAGTTGTTCTTAAACCCTCCTGAAACTCTCCCAACCTCTCCACTCCAAAGCCCACTACCACGGCGGTGGGGGCACCGGCTGAAACGGCCCGGACCGCACCGTGGGCTGGTCGCGCCAGAGCCGAGGGAAGGCCCAATGCTCCTGGGTTTTTCAACACGCGACAGGGAAGCCACCCAAAAGGTGGCAACCCTACTACCCTAAAGCCCTGAAACCCCTACAACCCCCCCCCCCCGCCCCAAACTTCTTGAAGCCCTCCCGGACCCTGAAACGGTTTAAAGCTCAAGCCCAAGCCCATGCCCAAGCCCAAGCCCAAGCCCCGCACAATCCCAAACACTACAACCCCCCGCAGAGATACATGCATTACATTTTGGGATGTTGCCCCTGATACTAACAGTCCTTAAGAAGGATAAGAATAAGGGGTACTATCATCCCTATTAAGGACTGTAAGTACAACAAGGGGGGAACAACCCACATTCTTGTTGCAACTAAGCCCCACCCGACCCAAGGACCCTCTGACGGAGAGGCGATCACAAAGCCGCGGCGCTGGCGCGCAGAGCTGGAGGATGGTCATGCCAAGGCCACCCAAGATGGTGCAGACCACCCAGATCCTGCTCTCTCGGCTTTCGGGCTTTTGGAGCCCACGCTGCGACTCGGAGGCTTGGGTGTGTTAGCTTGTGGGCTTAGGGCGACTTACTCCCGGCACTAGCAGAGCACGGGGCACCCTAGATAAATAGAAACAGACACATTACATTACATTACATTACATTACATTACATTACATTACATTACATTACATTACATTACATTACATTACATTACATTACATACATACTTGCATACCTACATACCTACATACCTACATACATACCTACATACCTACATACATACATACATACACCTACACACCTACATACCTACATACCTACATACCTACATACCTACATACATACATACATACATACATACACACACATATATATATATGTATAGATCCGAGGGCGTGCGATGGAGCGGATAGCTCGGGCCTGGGGATTCACGTCTTAGGCCCAGGTTGCAGAATTTGGGAAACATGCCACATCACCCTGCAAGGGGAGTACCAAAAACACCACGAGCCGGCGGAGCTTGAGCTTCCCTGTAACCTTAAACCCCAAGCCTTCCTAAACCCTGAACCCTAAACCCTAAACGCTAAACCATAAACGCTAAACGCTATAGCAGCCAAGGTGCAGGAAGTGCATGCCGGGCGCCCAGGGGCATTTCGCGTAGCAGCTAGGGTGGCCTGCATAGCCTTGCAGAGCAGGGGTAGTGGGGTTTAGGGTTTAGGGGTAGCGGGGGTTTCAGGGTGCAGGCGTGTGCGAAACTCCCTCGGCGGAGACGCGACAACGCGGCGCGTGGTGGATGGGGCTTCGCACCATGGCGGATCAAACTTGGGGTTCCCCTTCTTGCACCCTATACCCGATTTACCCCTAAACCCCCCTAAACCCTATAAAACCCTAAACCCGACCCTTTGAAGCCCCATGAGCCGAGGGCCCAAACAAGGTTGCGTCGACTTCCGCGGAGCCGAGCGGCCGCAGCGGGGCTCGAACAAGGCGGCATCCAGGGCCCCGGCCAGCATCGAGGCGGCAGAGTCAAACCTTGGAGCGCAGGGCGCGGCAACCTCAAGGTGGTTTGGGGTTTAGGATCCGGAGACCAGTATTCAAAAGGGTTTAGGGGTTGCTTGAGGGTTTAGCTCGGCCCCAAACTGGGGAAGCCAGCATACAACGATTTGCACAGCAAACAAAAAGCAGCTGAAACCCGAAGTGGGTGGGGGGGGGGGAACGCCGCGCTGACGTCAGTTTATTTACGCGGGTCTTCTGCCCAATTCGGACAAGCTTAGCCCAGTGGCCGAAGAAAATTCTCGACGGACTCCGGCTCAACATACCATACAGTGGCCCGCGCGACACAGCAAAGCAGCGCTAAGGCTGCGAGGAAGTACATGGTGACCTGCGTTCTGTGCACAGACAGAGCCTAAGCCCGACGCCTAAACCCTAAACCCTTCACCCGAATAAAGCTCAAACCCTAAACCCTATATAAACCTAAAATCCAGTCCCCCATCCATGGAGGCCCTCTCCCTCACCTTTAGACCCTAGCTGTCATTGCGGGCGTAAGTGGGTCGGGGAAGGTGGGGCTCTCAATGCACAGCACATGAACACTAAACCTTATAACCCTGCATCAGCGAGCCTTGTAGGGCTCAAGCTTTAGGTTCATCAGGTTTACTTAGAATACATAGGGCCCTAAACCGTAAACCCTAAACCCTAAACCCTAAACCCTAAACCCTAAACCCTAAACCCTAAACCCTAAACCCTAAACCCTAAACCCTAAACCCTAAACCCTACGCCGCTAGCATAGGGCTTCGGTGACCCCTCAGCGGCCTGGAAGTGGGACCCCCAGACGAGCAGGGCCGTCAGCAGCCCACCGGCCAGCAAACCGATGCACAGGCCGAAGAAGCCTGCGTCCCAACAGGGTGGGGTTTTTGCATTATTGGGGTTTAGGGTTTAGGGTTTAGGGTTTAGGGTTTAGGGATTGGGGTTTCGACCCTCGCACCCACACAAGGCCGGCAAGGCTTCGGTTGGTTCTTGGTCCGGTTGGTGATACAACGTCATCATTTTCAATGATGCATCTGGGGTTTAGGGTCTCCGGGCTGTACCGGGCCCATCGTGGGTGCTACCGACCTCCGAGCTCATTGGGGGGACGGCCGAGGCATTGAGTTTGCAGTTTGGGGTTCAGGCACACATATTTAGAACTAACTTTAGGAGCCATTTGCGCCGGAGTGACCCAAAAGAATCGAAATGCAAGCCCGCATTTCCGACCGACCAGGCGAACTCCCATCATGGCAGCAACTTGCAAGTTGCATCCTGGGTTTTTTTTGGCTCAGGCTGAGCTTCTGCAGGATGTCACCACACATCACCGCACAACCATGGTACGAAACCACATGGAACCACACAGCAACTGGCACGTCAGATCCCTGGAGACAGTTCAGCTCTTGCAGTCCCCCCTGGCGCCTCGCTTCAGGAACTTCTTCTGGTAGTGGTAGGCGTTCTCCAGAGCGCAGCAGCTGTCCAAGAGCAGAGCGCCACTGGACAAGACCATGAGGACCTGGCATTCGGCTGAGAAGACACACCCCTTATCCAGGGTTCGGGGTTGCGGGTATTCGGGACTTCGGGGAAAAAGCTCAGGGGGCTTCTGGTCCCCTAAGGTCTTGGGAGGGTCCAAATTCTGAGGCTTTCAGGTTGAGATTGTATGGTCGCGGCTTCAGGGCTTAAGTTAAGTTTATAAGGGCTTGAGAAGTTGAGGGTGTACGGGTTTGCGGCTTCAGGTGGGGGGTTGAATAATCTGGGACTAACAGGCCTTGGCCACCGCGGTGCCCCAGTTGTCACCGGCGGTCGCCTGAGAGCTTCGACAGGCACGTGCTCAAGGAGTTGGCTCTTCCCTCGTTTGGAATTTAAGGCTCGAAAGGTTTGAGCCGCTGGCAGGCCCTATAGGCACATAAAGCTCCACTTAAGCCCAACTGGCACACTCTGTGGGCAGTGACCAACAGTAATTGACAACATCGTCCACCTCCCTGCGTATGCCGTGCTGAAAATGCACAGCTCACGCTGAGGACTTTGCGCACAGCCTTGGCCTTGGCTCCAAAACCCTGAACCCAAGCAACCCTGAACCACACGTTGGCTCCTGTAAGGCAGCACCAGCACAGGCGTGGCCAGTGGCACCCAAGAAGAAGAAGAGCAGATAGAAGTCGTCCGAAGCCACCTCTTGGGATGTGGGGTTCAGCACAGCGTCTACTCAGTCTCACGGCCTACCCCCCTCCCCCCCGAAGCCCAAAAGTTCAAGCTAACTCTTCATGCCCTGAGATGGCATCACCCCCATGCCTCTCAATCTCAGACCCGCTATGGAAGAAACCATCGGAAATCCCAAGTGCTTTCGAGCCGCGTCCCGTCGACACCGCTCACGGAGGATGCACAGACCACAGAGGAAAAACGCAGCCGCCCCGGCGTAGAAGCCTCGTGGGGCTTCAGGCGCCGGGTATTGAGTGGACTTTTTTGCCCCTTCGGGGAGGCAGCGCGTATCGTTGCGTATCACTGGTGTCGATGAAAAATCGACTACAGAAGGGAAGAAAGCGAGAAAAAAACATTCATGCCGGCCACGACCCCAAACAGCATGGACTTAAAGATATGGGAGCGAAGCCATAGCACAAGCTCCTATTTTGGTGGTACGTGCCAATGAATCGAATCCGCTGGCGTCTGACCTTACTCTCGCAGAACCCCCACTGGAATGCCTGAAGCAGAAGTTGCACCCGAACACCTTTGCCACTTGAAACTGGGGAGGTGCCGGGGTGTAGGGCACGAGCCTTGGTGAGGAAAGGCTGTAGACTGAAACCCCATTAACCGAGAGGCAGTTGAAGGTCGTTTGGTGAGCACCGGGTGTGTGCTCAGGGTCCGGAATGAAGGTCAGGGAGTGCCCGTTCTCCAGCCAGCACTCCATGGCGATGGGCCCGCACCCTAAATCCTAATCCCTAATCCCTGAACCCTGAACCGCAAGCCCTAAACCCTAAACCCTAAACCCTAAACCCTAAACCCTAAACCCTAAACCCTAAACCCTAAACCCTAAACCCTAAATGGGGGGCTGAGCAGCAGCTTCAAGCTCAAGAGCTTCGGGTGGCAAGCAGCTCAGACGAGGCTTGATAGCAACTCCGGTGTGGTGCTTGTGACATTTTGGGGTTTAGGGTTTAGGGTTTAGGGTTTAGGGTTTAGGGTTTAGGGTTTGACCAATCTTGCCGGCATGGCTTTGCATGGCTTCATTGACTGTTATCCCGCTAGTTCTACGGGCAAGATGCGCTTTTCTGCCCGTATTTTTAATAAATGATAGCAACTTTCAGAATACAACTTCACGCGGCCTTGGCGTTGACTTTGCAGAATCTTTGCGTCCATGGGCTTCTTTGAGCCAGGGAGGGGGGGGGGACCCAGATCGGAAGAGTGGGGCCGATGTGAGAATGTCATCGAAGGTCAAGGTGGGTCGGGAGTCAATTGGACTGTCTAGCTTTCCATGCTTCTAACACAGAGAGCCTAGGAGGTCTCCTGCACACACACACACAGACAGACAGACAGACAGACAGACGGACAGACGGACAGACAGACAGACAGACAGAGACGGAGACACACACACACACACACACACACACATGCACACAACACGGTTGGTTCCGAGCGCATGGCCCCGGCGCCTCGCATCGTGGTCCGGCCCCGCGCCATCGCATAGACACGTCTCGAGCATACTTCCCAAAAAAACTTTGGCATAGGGGGTGTATGCTGGGAGGGGTTGGTCGGGGGGGGGGGGGGGGGGGGGGGGGCTTGCTATCATCCGGGAGATGCACGGATCGGACTGCAAGCTCATGAACAACTCAAGCAAAATGCCCAAAACAAAGCGTGCTTGTCATCAAAGATACTCGATGAAAGTTGCTTCGACATGAATTCAGGGTGTGAGGCTCATAGTGTAGCTTTCAAGAAGGAGAGGTACCAAGTCACAACTCAGAAAGGCTCCTAAGAACTGCTCGATCCTCTTCACCAAGCTGAGAAATTAAAATTCTGTCGTGCCTTGCCGTGCAACTGCTACTGCATGCGTGAGCCCTTTATGACTATGCAATGCCTGTTCTTAAGGACCTGAGCTTATACACGCTGCTGCAACATGTGCAAGTCAACACCGACTGGAGGGAAAATTCGATTCGTTCCTCGGTGGTTTGCGTCGGGCGCTCACAAGCACAAGCCTTCCCTCAAGCCTTCTCACAAGCCATCTCCCATCTGCATGCAACGTTGTCCTTGTGATTTCTCTGCGCTTTCAGCGACTTTGAAATGACCGGCGTGGCCAGAGACCTTCCAGCTGCAGCTACCAGACATCTTACTACACTTGCTTTCCACCTACACGGCATCCAGACTGCTGCAACACGTGCAAGTCCGCACCAGCGGTGGTTTGTGTCGGGTGCTGGCAAGCACAAGCCTTCTCACAAGCCTTCTCACAAGCCTTCTAAAGCGGCTGAGCATTTGGCCGACAACGCGCCCTTTGCTAGGCACGTCGGCGCCTTGAGTCTTGAGCTCTGCGCATTCAGCGACTTTGAAATGACCGGCGTGGCCAGAGACCTTCCAGCTGCAGCTGCCAAACATCTTTGCGCGGTGCATGTGGAGAGTCAGCAGGCATGGACCACCAAGGGACGAGCGCATCATGGCTGTGCGCTGTGTGCCTCTGGGCAGCCTGCGCCGGCATTGGCGGCGTTGGGAGCGTTGCGTGGGGCTCATGTCACGCCTCGTGGACTCAGCCAATGTGGATGCAAACGTGTTCAGTGTGGTGGCAATGGGCCCGACCTGGTGTGCCGAAAAACGAAGAGGTGTCTGCTCGCCCACCGACAGGAATAGAGGTTCAACTTCGCTACAAAAACTGCACTTGTCGCTGCAGGGGTGGCTGGCTGCGTGGGGGAGTCTCAGTTCCACTACTTCTGATTCTGCATTCCTTGTCTCCAGCCTGCTCCACAACGAAGACACCTGGATTTCGCCGTAAGCTCTTGTTGCTTGGCCTTCCTATCTGCTAGGGATAGATTCCACTGCACCATCTTGCTTTTGCCAAAGGATTTGTCCTTGCCTTTGCCTTTGTCCTTATCCTTACTCTTGCCCTTTTGGAAGGTGGGACAACATTGCCCGCTCTGTCCCTGAGGCTCAAATTGGTCTTGCCGGAAAGGCTGGGGGGGCCGGCGCAATCCTTGGGTTCGTCTGGGCGAAGGACCGACCGGGAGACGCGCACTGCTGGGTGCTCATCTTGCCAAAGTGTTCAGCAGCCCCAGCTTTGCCTGCCTGGGCTGCACGTGGCGTGTGGTTAAGTCGCTCGGGGCTTCGGGCTCTCACGTGGCGGCGCGAGCCCTCAGCCAGACTTTAGGGTTGAGGGTGTAGGGCTTAGGGTTTAGGGCTTAGGGTAATACCATGACACCGAACCGGTTAGAGGTGGCTTTAGAGCTTGCGGCTTGAACAATATACGGTAATATACGACTTCAAGACCCTCTTTGAAAACAGTCTGTCAAGCCTTTTTCAAGGCTTTAGCCCGGAACGGCTATTGTCTTTCGATTCAAGAGACCCACCAGACCCCCGCAATGCAAACCCACCTTTCTTTCGGATACCCTCAACCCCTCAAGCCTATAAAACCTAGACCCCCCAAAAAAACCCCCCAAACCCCAATCGGGTCTAAGCCCCTTAACCCTAAACCCTAAACCCTAAGCCCTAAACCCTAAACCCTAAACCCTAAGCCCTAAGCCCTAAGCCCTAAGCCCCAAGCCCCAAGCCCCAAGCCCCAAAGCCCCAAGCCCTAAGCCCTAAGCCCCAAGCCCCAAGCCCCAAGCCCCAAGCCCCAAGCCCCTAAGCCCTAAGCCCTAAGCCCTAAGCCCTAAGCCCTAAGCCCTAAGCCCTAAGCCCTAAGCCCGAAGCCCGAAGCCCTAAGCCCTAAGCCCTAAGCCCTAAGCCCTAAGCCCTAAGCCCTAAGCCCTAAGCCCTAAGCCCAACTTTTTCCTCTGTCATTTCGGCTCGGCGGGTCGATCCCCCGGATCGACGCGGCGCCGCCGCTTCTTCGGCGGTGGAGGGGGAGGCACCTCCTCAAGGATAAGGTCGTTTCTGTGTCAGTGTTTCTGAGGGTTAGGGTTTGTGAGGGTTTAGGGTTTAGGGCTTAGGGTACTTTAGGGCCTCTAGGTTTCAGGGGTTGAGGGCTTGTGACGGTTTCTGAGGCTGAGGGTTGCTAAGGTTGCAGACACGGCTGCTGCAGTTCCTGGGCCCACGAAACCGACATGCCCCAAACACCCTCAAGACCCCAGAACTCTAGTCCGATGGTATCCCTCATGAAGCCACAATACTACATGGGAGGCTACATCCTGAATTCCCGGCGAGTAGGACCAGGAGTAGGCCCGTATTCCCTTATTTTGGGGCTTAGGTTCCCTTACAAGCCCCTTTAAGGCAAAGACGGTACCATTTTCATACCGAGGTTACTCTTGGGTCTATAATGTAAGCCCTACACCCTAGAGAGGTTTAGGCTTCAGTTCTAAACCCAAGCCTTATATATTTAACACGGATTCTGACACCATGCTCGGTGAGTGCAGATGAAAGAAACGCACACGAGATGGACGCAATCCGCCGAGGCTTTGGGCCGGAGGTGTACAGGTTGTTCCCCCCCCCCCCCCCACAATGCCATTTTTCGGACCCCCTTTTTTTCCTCAAATGGGTACCCCCCCTAGGAAACCGGGGTCCGCAAGCGAACGGTCCAGGACCAAGCCCTTCCCAGGAGGGCCCCCCCCTTTCCCCCCATCCCCCCGCCCCACCCCCCCCCCTGGCGTGAGCACGGACGGCGATGCATTACACGAGCCGAAGAGTCTAAGCTTGAACCTAAACCCTAAACCTGAAGCCAACCCTCAACCTTCAACAAACCCCCCCCCCCCCCCCCCCCCCCCCCCCCTCCCCCCCAGCCCCCCTTCCCCCCCCACCCCCCGTACCCGAGGGGCCTGTCTCAACCCCACGATCAATCCAAGCCGAACCGTCTCTTGAACCCTAAACCCAGAAAAACCCTAAACCCCAAAGCGTGAACCTTGAGCCCTAAGCCCTCAATCCTAAACTAACCCTCAACCCTAAACCCTAAACCCAACCCTTATTGCTTGGGGTCCAGCGACTTGGGCGCTGCGGAATCACCATGCCGGGCCGAGGCGGGTCGCAGCGTTAAAATTAACCCCCCCCCCACCCCCCCCCCCCCCCCACCCCCACCCCCCCCCCCCACCCCCACCCCCCCCCCCCCCCACCCCCCCCCCCCCACCCACCCCCCCCCCACCCGAACGGAAAGAAAAATAGGCACGGAACGTTTGGACCATGTTGAACAACAAGCAAAGAATGAAAGCAGAGCCTAAGAAGCCAATGCGAAATCATGCGAAAACCGTGCGCAGGCCGCGTATTCAGGCAGTCCTTGTGGAGGTAGAGCAGTTGGGCCGACGCATGGTGAAGCATCAAAACCATGCAAACGCGTCCCCGCTAGTGAACCCGCCTGCTAAGCCCTAAACCCTAGACCCTAAACCCCAAACCCTAAACCCCAAACCCCAAACCCTAAACCCTAAACCCTAAACCCCCCCCCCTCCGCCCAGCTCCTCCTCTGGCTCCGGGGGCGGAGGCGCTTCTTTGGGCTGGTTCAAGAGCTCCACCTGCTTTGCCTGGTCCAACGGCCGGCAAGGAGCCTAAACCCAGACCCTAAACCTTGAACCCTAAAACTCAGGGCCTACCCCCCCCCCCTTCTGTGAAGGGGGGCGCTTAAGCTTCGACCTCTATGGCGAAAGTCGAGCCAGGTCGCTTACCCACCTCCTGCAGCCCGGAGGTCGGTAGCTCTAAGCCGCCATGGCACAAGCTCCATAGCTAATGTGGTTTCTTCCATTTAGAAGCGCGTTAATTTAGAAGATTGAGCGTCAGCTTTCATCCCCTTGG